CAGGCCCAGGTCCTCTGTCTTTCCCTCACCCCAGAGCCTACTCCCAAGCCTGACCCAAGTCACCACCCATGATGGAGAGCCTGGAGAGGCGGGAGGGATCAGCTCACCAGGACGGAGGGGCCGGCCGCTGTGACACGGTCCCAGGGCCCCAGGGCACGGGGCTGAGCCCTGTACGCTGGGGGCAGACTGGCCGGAGTTCTGCTCCAGCTCTCACATGACTTAGAGACAGCGTCTCAGCAAGTTACCCAGCTTCTCAAGGCTCTGTTCTCCCTCCGTGAGAGAGGGGAGGCGGTGGTGGAGACGCCAGGCAGTGCTGGCAGCTGGCCAGTTCTCAAACGGGGGGACGTCATCTTGAAAAGCTTTCAGAGAGGAAGGAGGACAGGGGGCTGTGTGTCAAGGACTGAGCTGTGGGCAGCTCTGCGGCGGGGAGACGGGGTGCCAAGCGGGGGCAGAGGTGTTCGAGACGGAGAGGGGGCGATGGGCTCCAAACTGTTTCAGGGTGACGATGCTGGGGCTCACCGTGGTCTGGGTGAGGGGACAGAAGGAGGGGACAGCAAGGAGGACTCCCAGTTGTCCGGCTAAGTGACGGCTGACGCTGCAGCGGGTGGGGAGGGCGGCCATGGCCTGTGTGGGGCCGGGCGCCCAGGCGGCTGCGGGGAGCTCTGAGCACCAGACTGGCTGAAAAGCACGAGCAGCTCCTCAGGACTGAGCAACCCACCTCTGAGGTGTGGGGACGGAAGAAGCGGCTCGGCCACTGAGCTCCACAGCCAACGCCTGGTGGATCTCCACACCGAGCCTTTCCTGTGGGTCTAGAGAAACCATTAGGAAATCTGCTTTCCACTAGACGATTAGGAGGACAACCTGATATGAAATATTTTGTCATTAACTGGCTACCAAATGTAAGCTTTCACCTGTCTTTTAATATTTATTAAAATATCTCATGCCAGGATAAAGAAGATGTGGCATCTGTATACAATGGACTGCTACTCAGCCATAAAAAAGAATGAAATCTTGTCATCTCCAGCAACATGGAGCGGCTTGAAGGGTAAGTATACTGAGTGAAATAAGTCAGACAGAGAAAGACATATTGTATGATCACACTTCTGTGTGGAATCCAAAAAATACAATGCACAGTGAATATAACAAAAAAGCAGACTCACAGATACAGAGAACAAACCAGTGCTTATCAGTGGGAAGAGGGAAGTAAGGGGCAATACAGGGGGAGAGGAGTAAGAGGTATAAACTATTAGGTATAAAATAAACTACAGGAATACATTTAATGTACAACACAGGGAATATAACTAATGCTTTATAATAACTGTAAATGGAGTATAACCTTTAAAATTATGAATCACTATATTGTACACCTGTAGCTTATATAATGTTGTCATCAATTATACTTCAATTAAAAAAAAAATCTCACCCCAGAAAGTGAAAGTGTTACTCTATACTTCAATTTAAAAAAAAAATCTCACCCCAGAAAGTGAAAGTGTCATTTGCTCAGTTGTGTCCAACTCTTTCCAACCCCATGGACTATAGCCTGCCAAGCTCCTTTGTCCATGGAGTTCTCCAGGTAAGAATACTGGAGTGGGTAGCCATTCCCTTCTCCAGGGGATCTTCCCAATCCAGGAATCGAACATGGGTCTCCTACATTGCAGGTGGATTCCTTACCATATAAGCCACCAAGGAAGCCCAAAGGAGCACCCCAGAGACCACCCCAAAAAAGATAAATATAACTTTATATTCCAGTAAGTTTGCCTTAGCCAAACAAGAAATCTTGTTGTGGCATCAGCAAAGAGTAGCAGATGGGGGTCTCTTTATCCCACCCACCACATCTAAGAAGATAAAATCAGTTTCACCTACAAGACCTGCTGGCAGGGCAAATATCATTTCAGCCCCCTCCCCTCATCTCCCTCCCTCCCTGATATCTATAGAGATTGTTTCTTCTACAGAGGAAAAAAATATTCCCCAAATCACTCCTCTAGTAAAATAGGTGGAAGGTAGAAGTGATCTGCTTGGAGTGATTGCTCTGGTACATTGGGCTGCCAACTCAGAGGGATAGGGGATGGTCTGGGGAGCTGTAGAAACCATGGACCATCTTCTCAGAGAAGTATCGTTCAGATTTGTCTGTAACGTGTTATTTTTTAAAAAAAGAAAGAAACAACACCCAAACGAATGTTCTGGCCAACTCAACACTTATCCCCACTTGCAGATTACATCATCTCTCTCTCTCTCACACACACACACACACACACACACACACGCACACACACACACGCACACACACACATACACAGTGTAGCACACATAATTTTGTTCCTAGGCAAAGGTGAATAACACCTACTCTCTCCTTGTGAATCCCAGACTAAATGCAATCACGGTCCTCCAGAAAACTGCCTGTTCCCAGACGATGCTCCCTATTTCTGGAGCGTAAGAACTCTGGGAGGGGGGCACGAGTGTGAGAGATGGGAAGAAACAGTATGGATAACCCCTCCACATAAAAGCATCAGGAAGAGGAGACGTGATCAGGGGAGGGACTCTGGGGGTGACCCCACTGAGCAGGGTGCTCTCCACTTCTCCCACCTGGCAGTGAGGAAAGGACTCTGCTTGGACACTGGTCTTGTCGCAGAGTGCCACGGGGCAGCTGGTCGTCCTGCAAACACACAGGGCCGCTGGCCCATGGGTGTGATCACAGGATGCCGGTGCCCACGAGCCCCTCCCACCCTGAGCGCCACTGGGGGACAGGTGACCCTGAGCGCTCACTTGGACATAGGCTTTGAGGGTGAGGACAGGCAGATGGAGCCTATTTCTTAATATTTCCACTTCACTGGAAAAGAAAGGTGGAGGGGGATTTTTCTGGGAGGACAGCTGTGTAAGCTGCTTGTCGAGACAAGGAGAAATGTGTGCCTGTTTATTTCAAGGCAACCATGGGATGACGTGGTGGGAGAGCTGGGCAGAGAGGGTGTGACCGCATTAACACGGGATAAAGCGCTGAGCCTCACTTAGCACGTAGGTAGCAACTGAGCACATACGAGTGGATGGAAAAAAGCAAAAAGTTGAGCATGGTGATGAGAGCAGTGGCCTGGGAGCTGAACCCCAAGGATCCCAGGTGGCCCTGATGGGCAAGCGCTCACCAAAATGTGGAGAACGCAATGTCTGAGCAACGCAGTGCTGAGAGCCCCGAGTACATGAATCCTGCGCAAAGACAAGCAAACAAAGGAGTTTGGAGCAGTGCCATGACAATGGGGAATAAAAAGGAAACTTCCTTCCCCAAAGTCTGGCTGAACATCTTTAGAAAACGACCTGAAGTCAGCCTGACCTCGCACACTCCTCCAGGGAGATGCTGTGCTACCCAAGGAGTCGCCCTTACGTCAACGGCAGGAAGCCTCCAGTCACCACTGCCAGGAGGTGCATTGAGGATGCTGGTCAAGTGAGGTCGTCTCCATGGCAACGGGCTCAGGGCCAAACATTATGTAAAGATGTCTGCGCGTGTGTGGGTGCTCGCCGCCTGTCTCGCAGGTCACCAGAAAGTCAGGCATGAGGGCGAACTCTATCCTTTGCTCATTAAATACCATGGGTCCCGTCATATTGAACCCCCATCAAGTCCAGTTTTCATCTGGAATGCAAAGTCTACCTTATATCTGCTCATTTATTCACCCTATAATTACTGAGTGTCTTCTATAGACACATCCTTGAGTTAGGGGACATGAGAGGGAGAGGACAAAGTACAGTCAGGTAGTCTTGACCTTGGGGCATTTTCCCTGAGGACATAGGACACAGAGACGCAGAAAGTTAGGTGAGCATGTGAAAGATGGGACAGCAACGAGATGACGGGGGCATCCCTGTGGGCTTGCAGAGGCTTCATGCCTTCTTTGCAGTTGTACCTTTAACACAGAACTCCTGAAGGATGCGGATAAATGGGAGGGGGTAACAGAAGAGGCAGAGAAGGCAATGGCACCCCAATCCCGTACTCTTGCCTGGAGAATCCCATGGGCGGAGGAGCCTAGTAGGCTGCAGTCCACGGGGTCGTGAAGAGTTGGACACGACTGAGCGACTTCACTTTCACTTTTCATTTTCACGCACTGGAGAAGGAAGTGGCAACCCACTCCAGTGTTCTTGCCTGGAGAATCCCAGGGACGGGGGAGCCTGGTGGGCTGCCGTCTATGGGGTCGCACAGAGTCAGACACGACTGAAGCGACTTAGCAGCAGCAGCAGCAGCAACAGAAGAGGTGAAAGGACAACCCATAACTGAAGAACTGAAGGCTGGTGAAAAGCGTTTAGAGAGTGCGAGAAAGACCACAGAAGCTGGGGGGAAAGGCTTAAGTTAGGGTAAGTGGCAGCCAGATCATGGAAAGCTGATCTTTATCCTCTCAGACAATGGGTAATTGGGGAAGGTTCTTGTGCAAAGGGTGATTCGACAGACATGGTACCGGGCAGAGCAACTCCCACCCTCCAGTAGCCTGCACACAATACGGCGTTCATTATGACATGTTGTCATAACTAGTGGAGGTTCCCCTTCCAGACCATGACCTCTTGTTAGTAGGCATGGGTGCCTTCTGTACGAGAAACAGCACCCAAACTGGAGTAGGTGCTAGATATATAAAATAGTTCCAGCCATAAAACACACTAACCGATAAAACAGAATTTAAGACCAAAAAAAAAAAAATCACAGAGACTGAAGGAAATGTTTTATCCTGTTTTCAAAAACCCCCACATACCAAGAAGATGAAATCACAAACATACGCATTTATCAACATACTCTATGCATTAATAACAAAATTACAGAGCAAATAGATTTTTAAATCCCAGTATAAATGTGTATGGGCTTCCTGGTGGCGCAGTGGTAAAGAATTTGGCTGTCAAGGCAGGAGACACAAGGGGTGCACATTCGATTCTTGGGTTGGTAAGATCCCGGGAGGAGGAAATGGCAACCCACTCCAGTATTCTTGTCTGGAGAATCCCATGGACAGAGGAGCCTGACCGGTGACAGTCCATGGTGCTGCAGAGAGTCGGACACGACTGACCAAGCAAGACAGACAGCAGTGATTACATACTAGCATTTCCCCTTCAATTAAGGAGAAAAAGAAAGAAGGGAGAGAGAGAGGGAGGGAAGGAGGGAGGAAGAAAGAAAGGAAGGGGAGAGAGAGAGGGCGGGAGAGAGAAAGTACACCAGGAAAAGGAAGGTCAATTCAGAGATGATCAATTGTAAAAGGACTTCTCCAGGTGCAGGACCTGCAGGGGCCATGAAAGGAAGGTAGATAATACATACTGTTTCAGAAGTTGACACCTGATGGGCTGTAGGGAGAAGGGCTTGATTCTAGGGTGATACAGAGATCTCAGGCTTTGGAGACAGGAAGAAGGTTGCCATGGATAAGTAAAAAAAAAAAAATTAAGTTCAAAGAGAGGACTAGCCTGAAGAGCAAGACAATGGCATGGGTTTCAGATATAGAATCAGTAGTAGGATCAAAGACTTGAAGGGCCCCTAAAGATCATCTAACATAACACTTCATTATATGTGTGAGGGGATAGGAGCTTAAAGAGGTCAGGGGACTTGTCCTCTAAGACCCATAAGAAAAGCTAGTACAGGAACCAACATAGAAATGATTTTCCATGAAGGGGGGATAAGCTGTCTGTCAGGGCCCAGGACTGGAGCTCTGGGTCTGGGAATCATCCATCATGGAGGTGATTTAAGCCAGAAGAATGGGTGGGGCTTCAGGGAGACAAAGTATAAAGGGTGGAAGGCAGGCAGCCAAGTGCTTGGCAAATAATAGCGACAGCTAATACCAGCGCTAGTGTGCGTCAGGTACCGTTCGAAGGGCTTTGCACAGGAGTATTTAATCGTCTCAAGAACTTTAAGAGGCGGGAGCTTCTAGGAAGAGGGAACACAGGTGAGAACGCTGAGCTCTTCCATCCTGTGGCAGGAGCTCCATCTGCCCTGCTCACCACCGTGTCCCAGAGCTTGCCTGCACGCCGTCTGGAATTTACCATTCCTATTTATTACTTGATGAGGTGCATCAAAGGAATTGCTTCTCCAAGTTGTTGGGGCTTGTGGATTTCTGCAGAGCTGGAAGCACTTCTGTTCCCAGGATGCCAAGTCTATGACCTTCTCTGGCATTTTGTTTCTCCATCTAACACAAATACGGAGTAAATCTGTGACACTGGCTGAGGTTCCCCCCACAAACAGCTTTCCTTTAGCTGCTGCTCTTCTCAAATGGCATGTTTGTACTTGTGGTTTCACTGAATGTCCAGGTGAACTGCCATCTCCTGTAATCAATCTTAAAATGTCTTGAAGGTGGTCGACATCATGGTATTTTTTTAAAGCAGTGATTCCCAGCATCCGTGTAACTGTCGCTGATCAATAAAAATCTTCTGAGGATATTCTAGACCTTTCGTTCGTTCAAAGAATCTGACAGCATAATCATCCATTTCTTATAAAAGCAGAAGCAAATTACTGTGTTGCTATAAAAAATGAAATTTTGATCAACCTTTAAGACCAGAGTCCAGAGAGCTATCCCAAACAATGGACTTTTTATCTTTTACACAATATACTTCTGCAATCAGAGGTTGAAGAAGAAATAGAATCTAGAGTTTTAAATGTAGGTGGGACAGTGATAGACAACAGACTCTGTATGATTTCAATATCTTTGAAAGTGAAAAATGAAAATGTTAGTTGCTCAGTCATGTCTGACTCTTTGAGACCCCAGGACTGTAGCCCACCAGGCTCCTCTGTCCATGGAATTCTCCAGGCAAGAATACTGGAGTGGGTTGCCATTCCTTTCTCCAGGGCTTCTTCCCGACCCAGGGATCGAACCCAAGTATCCCACATTACAGGCAGATTCTTTACTGTCGGAGCCACAGGGGAAGTCGNGCCAAGGGCCCATTCATGACAAATCTACTTTGATCATGTGTAGATATGTCATCCCATTAGGTGATTACAGTCTTTTTGGTAACAAAAAGATAAAACAATTTCACCTTTTGCTTTGGGTGCAATGCAGGTCAGTGAGATTCCATTCCTGCTGATGTTCCCTCGGGTATGGGCAAAACTACTACACAGCCTGCCTCAGTTCTGAGTTAGGCATTTTCTAGTCTACTCAACTGTCATTGGCGAGTGAAGGTTTGTTAAACACTCCTTAGAATTTGTATCTAAAACCCTACAGTAAATCTCTCTCTCTTAGATGATGCCTTAAGCATTTTTCTTTTTTTGGCTGAGCCACAGGGCACGTGGGATCTTAATGCGTCTGACCAGGGATTGAGACCACACCACCTGCAGTGGAAGTGCGGAATCTTAACCACTGGACTACCAGGGAAGCCCTGATATTTATAGTTTTCAATGCATTCTCGGGTTCCTTTTTCTGTGGCAGCAACATTGAGAAACTGTGTGTGAGGTTCTGTTCATAGCAATTTCTTCTGCTGAGCAGCTAATCCCTTTTAAAACTCTCCCACTGGTTCTAAGACAGTGAATTCTCCTCCTCCTGCCTGAAAATTCTCCTCCATCCCTGTGGCTCCTTTGCTTCCTATGATGAATCACAGGGACCCCCACACCTGTTTTCCGTCCTGTGTGTCTACATCTTCTCCTCGGGGTCCTCTCTTACTCTCACCCACGTACATGCTTCCCCAACCTCCAGTCCCAGCCCCAATCTCCTCCCTGGGGTGTCCTCTTTTCAGAAGAAAAAGTAAAGAAGTCATTATGGAAAAACGGAACTTTGTTGGACTGGTTTGCAGTTACAGCTTAGTGAGTTTTTATTTTCAGTTAAATATGGGGACACTGTATGCAGCTACGACTGAGGCCACTACAGTGTCCTGGGCTCTGTACTCTGCCAGGATTCCATCTCCCAATGACTGTTCATTCCACTTCTCCTTGTTTATCTGCCCCTCTTGCTCTTGCATCTGGTTTTTTCTTTGTTTTTCCCAAGATTATACATTGCTCATTCTCCTATTCAAATGGAATCTTGTTCTATCCCTCTTTCTTTCTTTAACTTTATTTTGTATTGGGGTATAGCCAATTCACAAACAATGTTGTGATAGTTTCAGGTGACCAGCAAAGGGACTCAGCCATATATATACATGTATCCGTCCTCTTCCAAACTCCCCTCCCATCCAGGCTGCCACATAACATTGAGCAGAGTTCCATGTGCTATACAACAGATCCTTCTAGTTTATATATTTTAAAAATTGCAATCTGTTTTTATCCAGATTCCTACTCCCTTGAGTGGGGGAAGGATTTTAATGCTAACACCTCCCCCTCTGCTTCTTCCACTTATTTGTCAGACTGTTCTTTCCTCTGAACAATTAGATGTTGGATTCTTTCCTTTGATTTGTTTTTCAAATATATTAAAAGGAATATCATTCCTAGTTCAATCTGTTCAATCCTAGTTTCCGTTTTATAATATCCTGGATTTCCTTCTCTGAGGGCAGTTCTTTTTTTTTTTTTTTAATTGGAAGATAATTTCTTTATAATGTGCTGAAGCCAGTTCTAATTCTTCAGTTTTCTTTGGTCTAGTCTGGTCTCTCTTCTTCTACATTGACTGGGTCATGACTGGCACATTTAGGCCCTTTGAGCTTCCCATGTACGCATCTTCTCTGGCCACAAGACAGCAAGCAAATCCTGCACAGTGCACTTTTCTATTCCGTGGCATCTCTACAGGTCCTGGTAGAAGTCTGTGCTTACGCTGAGTATCACTGTCCTTAGACATCAGGACTTACTGGAAATGGGTTAGACATCTTCACAGGCCCACTGGTGCAGTCAGGACCCAAAGTCTTTAGTAATGAGCCAAGTCCCTGGTTTCCTTCTAGAGAACAGCTTATGTACCAGAGGGAACAGATCCTAATGTATGTTACTGTGATAAAAACTCTCTGGTATCACCTCAAAATTCTTTGTGCAAGTCACATTCCATTTAAGCCCATAGTCTGAGAAGGACGGACAACCAAGTTGACTCAGGGAAGACTCACAACCTGTGGTTTTAAAATCTTGGAATCTTCCATGACTCAAGTTCTCATTCAGCTTCCTTCCCCAAGAACAAAGAAACTACTAGGAATGAAGCAACAATCACAGGTATGGTTAAGGGTCCTTCCTCAGGAAAAGTCAACATTGCTGCTATACATCCAAGTTCTAAGCCCCCAGTACCTAGAATGTGACCTAGGAAGGAGGACTTTTGCAGACATAATATGAGGTTATACTGGAGTAAGGCAGGTCCTAATTCAATACCACTGATATTCTTAAAAGGAAAGAAAGACACAGGTATACATATATATATAATGGAATACTAGTTGGCCATAAGAAAAAATGAAATTTTGAAATTGCAACAATATGCTTGGACTGGAAAGTCACTGTGCATGCATGCTAAATCACTTCAGAATCATGTCTGATTCTTTGCGACCCTGTGGGCTATAGCCCACCACGCTCCTCTGTTCCATAGGATTTTCCAGGCAAGAATACTGGAGCGGGTTGCCATTTCCTTCTCTAGGGGATCTTCCCCACCCAAGGATCGAGCCCCAGTCTCCTGCATTGCAGGTAGATTCTTTACCATGAGCGCCACCTGGGAAGCCCAGAAGACATTATGCTGAGAGAAATAAGTGAGAGAAAGACAAATAGTGCATATCACTTGTATGTAGAATCTAAAAAGATAAAATAAACTAGTGGATATAAAACAATAGAAACAGACTCACAGATACAGAGAACCAACTAGTGGTTACTGGTGGGGAGAGGGAAGGAGGGAGGGACACAAGAGAGGTAGGATTAAGAGGTACAAACTATTACAGAAAAGCAAATGAGCTACAAGGATATTTTTTACAGCAAGTTATAAAATATTGGAAATATAGTAAATATTTTATAGTAATTATAAATGATGTATAACTCTAAACAATTGTGCATCACTATGTTGCACACTTGAAACGTATATATTATACATCAACTGTACCTCAACTAAGAAAAGGTTAAAAAAAAAATCAAAGGCTAAAAGAAGAAAGAAAAGACACAGACACACACTCAGAGGAGACCCCCATGTGAAGACGGAAATGCACAAGGAGAATCCACAAGACGACAGAGGCAGAGTCAAGGAATTTCAAGGGCTGTCGACAAGGCGGGAAGGAAAGAAGCACGGAACAGGGTCTCTGCTGGAGCCTTGAGGAAGAGCATGGTGCCGCCGGCTTGATTTCAGACTTTAGCCTTTGACTCTGAAGACACCCAGCGTGTGGTCATTTGTCAGAGTGGCCTCAGGAAATGAACACAGCTGCAGGGGAGTTGGAGGTGCGGGCGCCTGCCAGCAGCAGCCATGGCCCCTCCCGGCTGTCACACCCGGATCACAGACGCAGACCCAGACCTCCGGTACCCGGGGTGGGCATGGGGGGGATGTGGAGGGGACTCAGAAGGGACCCGAGTCTCATGTTGTCTCCTGCACACGCGCACGCCACACACGCCTGGATGGAAGAAGATCTGCTTCGGTCTCCCTGCCACATAATCCCTGTGGGATCCTTTCCAGCCTCTTCTAGGAGACAGGGTCCTCTTCTTCACCCCCTGTGCTTACTCTCCAGTCCTGCAGAGATCAGGCTAATCACCCGGATCACGTGACACCAGCCTCTGGCTTCATATGCGGAGCCGATCTGCTGGAAGAGCATCTTGGCCCCACAGCATCTGTTTGAGCCGCCCTCTCCTTCTCATCTCTCAGCAGCTGTGCGCGGGGGGCCCGGGGGCAGCCTCCCTCACAGGCCAGGCTCTCCAACAGGTACTGCTCACCCTGCCACCCTCCCCACAAACAACCCCCCCAGGTGGAGACCCCCCACATGGCCTCTAGCTCACCTGTCTGAGTCAGGGTAGCAGGATCCGGATTTTAGACTTAATCATGTACTGTCCTTAACAAAACTAGCAGCTTATGAGAGAGAAGGTTTGGAGCCCAAACCTCAGTACAGGCCAAGAGGTGCTCCCCACCCAATGACCCAGGAGATGGAGCCGATCACTGTATCACACACGCGGCACGTACACACACAGAACGAGGCTGGAGAGGGCAGTGAGGCTGCTGGGACCTCAGGCAACAGCAACCTGCCTACCCAGGCTCTGCCAGGCTACCCTGAGCCCCAGGGACCAGTTACTCCACACACCACGCCCGTCCTGGGTGGCGAGCGCCATCGAGCAGTGTTGAAGCGGGAAGCAAACGAGGACCCAAGTGGGGGCCGACAGCATCTTCCCTTCCCAGGACAGGATGCGACAGGCTAGCCCCCAGGCCTCACCTGCATTGCCCGTGGTCCCTGTCGCACTCCGGGGTGGCGGGCCTGTCGGTGCCCGTCCGGGAACAATTGCAGCCTTCGCAGCCGGCCAGGGGATGGAAGCTGAAGGAGTGCACTTCACACACGTCACACTGGGGCCTGACCGTCCGCGGAGGACACAGGCACCTCCCCGTCGTCTCCTCACAAAGGCGCCGGCCGCAGTTGCAAGCTGGCCAAGGATGAAGAGGGTAAGGGTTAGACGCCCCTGACCTCCAGCAAAACTGCACTGCCAGGATTTCCAGAAGCTGCCAAAGGATGTCTGGGAGTAAGGTCTTGTTTTTCCTTCATTATGGCATCGCTGAGTGTGGTTGATCTGAAAGGCTCCTTTCTCGGGGCCAAGACCAACCACATCCAACGCTGAGGGTGGACACAGCGTGTAGACGCTGAGTGAGGCATCACTGGACCTACTGACCACAAGGTAGACACTTGTAGGAGCCGCCCCCTCACCCCCAGGCTGACGCTGTGTGTCATTCTAACGTGAGGCCTGGCCTTTGTCAGAGGGTCTGCTCCTCTCAGTCTCCCTGAAGGGCCTTGATGTCGACCCAGGGCACTGGGCCCAAGATCAGGGATGGGGCCTGCGGCAGGCAAAGGCTGTCCTCCACATGGGGACTCTGCACCCCTCACAAGGCCTGGGCTGCCCCTTGTCTAGGGTGGCAGGACAATTCTTAGACAAAGATCCACGGCCTCCTCAGTGAGGATGTGCCCTAGCAGGACAATTCTTAGATAAAGATCCACAGCCTCCTCAGTGAGGATGTGCCCTCTGACCCTGGGTCTCCTCCCACCTCAACTAAGCTTTGGTGGTTAGGCTGCAAAAACTGAAGCCTAACCCATCCCACTAGGAAGAGGGCTGAGCTGTCCAGTGTTTTGAAGCTTAAGGTTATTTCCCTTCACCTACTTTGCCAAGGGCCTGGCTCCCCTAGCCCGGGAGACACAAATGTATCTTTTCTAGAAGCCTGCTACTCAGAGTGTGGTCCCTGGACCAGCGGCATGGGAATCCTCTGAGTGGCTGCGGGACATGTTGACTCTCAGACCCCAGCCCAGGCCTCCTGACTCAGAATCTGCACTCTCACGAGATCGCCAGGTGAGTCTCCAGCACAGTGAAACTGGACAGGCCCTGCCCTGGGTGGGCTTCATCCGCCTGAACCAGAGATGACCTTGGCGGCCCCGAATGTGCACTTACGTTTGCAGTGCGGGAACCCGTAGAAGCCTGTCTGACAGCGTGTACACTGCCGCCCGATGACGTGGGGCCGGCACGGGCACTGCCCGCCCTCAGGGCTGCAGGGGTGGCTGATGGCCCCAGCGGGGTGGCACTCGCAAGGCAGTGCGCCCTCGTGGTAAAGGGCCACCAGGGATCTGGCAGAGTTCTTACAGAATTCAGAAGCTCTCTGGGGGCTGTGGGAACAAGAACGCACAGTGAGATCCTGGGAGGCGTGCCCAGAAATGGTCCTACCTTCCCCTTCCCGCACGCCCCACCAAGCAGTGTTTTGGGAGAGGGGCTCTGGAGTCTAGGAAAAAGTGAGAGGAAACCCCACCCCTGGACTTACAGTGGTTGACAGCCACCTACCCACCCCCATCTACTTCAGGACTCATCACAGGGCTGGAATAAAAGGGTGAAGATTCCCCTATAGGATGAGTTATATGGTATATAGGTTCTATGTCAATACAGCAGTCACCAAAAAATTTATACCTGCATGTACTATGATATACCAATTAGGATAATAATGAGGAGGAGGTGAATCGTCAACTTTTACTGAACATGTACGTTAAAAGGTTTCCCGTCACCTCATTAACCTCATAAGCTGAAGCTCCAATACTTTGGCCCCCTGATGGTAAGAGCTAACTCATTAGAAAAGCCCCTGATGCTAGGAAAGATTGAAGGCAAAAGGAGAAGCAGGTGGCAGAGGATGAGATGGTTAGATAACATCACCAACTCAATGGACATCTGAGCAAACTCCGGTAGATGGTGAAGGACAGGGAAGCCTGATGTGCTGCAGTCCGTGGGGTCGCAAAGAGTTGGACACAACTTAGTGACTGAACAACAACCTGATAACCACCCAACCAATTAGGCCGAAGTCCCATTTCACAGGGAAGACGACAAAGGCTCCCAGAAGTTAAGCAACATTCTTGAGGCCATAGAGCTATGGAGGGTGGAGCAGGCACTCAAATCCACAGCGGTCTGACCTCAGAGGCCTTGCTCTTAATATTTTCTGAACAAGAGGTTTCCACCCTCTGGAGGCCCAGGTTCCTCACGAAACCTACAAGGGGGCAGGGAGGAGGGGTCTGCAGGAGAGAAAGACAAGAACTGATACTCAGGGCTGTTCTAGGCTCTTAGCATCCGGGAACCCACCGAGGGAGGATAGGGAGGCCCAGCCCTCTGTAATGCTCCCCACTGATCAGAGGGCAAAGGAGAGCGGGAATCAGGGCTGATGTGCCCTGCCGGAGAGGAAATCCTTTGTGGTATCTTTCGGGAATCCGAGTTGGCCAACAGGAAGCAACAAAGAGGAAGAGAAACCCCCAAGCAGCCTGTGAATCCCAACTTGGGGGTGATCTGCTGAGATCAGAGTTGAAGAGGGAAATCCCACCTAAATGTACATAATGAGATAATACACAGGTCAGTGTGTGCCGAGGATCTGGGACGCACTGCTGCTCCCTTGGGCGCCCAGAAGAGGAAGACAGACCCCAGAGCCACCCCTCCCCAGGCCTCCTGCTCTGGTCGGGAAAGTGGGAGAGCCTCAGGCCTCCCACAGCCATGCCACAAAGCCATGTGTGCATGCTAAGTCGCTTCAGTCACGTCCGACTCTTTCAACCTTATGGACTCCTCTGTCCACAGGATTTTCCCGGCAAGAATACAGGAGTAGGTTGCCATGCCCTCCTCCAGGGGATCGTTTTGATCCTGGGATCAAACTCACTTCTCTTGTGTCTCCTGCATTGGCAGGCAGGTTCTTTACCACTAGTGCCACCTAGGAATCCCTCACACAAAGTGATACTTACTCAATATAAAAACTGTCTCCTCCACAATGGGTGACAAACTCCAGTGACTTGTCCAGTGATTTTCTGTGAAGGATCTGGTAGTCGTAATTCTCTGCAGGCACCACTAGGACACGGACCTAAATAAGGGAAAGTGTCGGCATGTCTTTGGATTTTCAGCAGCCTGGCACGCCCACTGTTCCACCATGCTTTCTCTTCACTAAGATTGTGTTAAACCATCTCAGTCATGTCTGACCCTTTGTGACCCCATGGACTGTAGCCTGCCAGGTTCCTCTGTCACTGGGGATTCTCCAGGCACGAATACCGGAGTGGGCTGCCAGATTAGAGTTCTTTACTGTTAAGTCCAAGACCACATGAAACAGGACTTACAAAAAAAGAATCACAAAGCAACCGTAACTCAGTGTTGAAAGCTCAGGACACATTCCCCCTTGGGAAATGATAATGAATTGGGGGGACAGACCCCCTGGAACACCTGCTCAGAGGAGCAGGAGCCTTGGGTGCTGGGGTGGACAGGAAACAAGGACCTGTTATGATGTCCAGGGCTCTGTGTGATCCATCCCTGGGATGACCCTGGTCATATCCAGGGGGTAGAATTTTGTATTTTTATTTATTTATTTATTTATTTATATTTTTTAGTATTTCTTTTTCTTTCATATTTATTTGGCTGTGCCAGGTCTTAGTCATGGCTCAAGGGATCGTTGATCTTTGTCGGGGCATCTGGGATCATTTTAGTTGTAGCATGTGAACTTTCAGTTGCAGCATGTAGAAGCTAGTTCTCTGGTCAGGACTCAAACCTGAGCCCCTGCATTGGAAGTGAGCAGTCTTAACCACTGGATCATCAGGGAAGTCCTTATTCTGAGTAAGCAAACTGAAACGGCAGGACCAATAGGGAGACTAATATGGTGGCTTGCCCCTGAAATGCCTATCCTATCAGATACTCTATTACGAATAATTGTGGCCCCAGTCTTTAAAAATACCGCCCTGTATTCTCTGTACCTGTATAAATCAGACCACACCAGTAACAAATGCTACAGGAAATTTCAACCATCTTTGTCAACTACTCACCCACTGACAGTTTACAGAGTCTAGTGCTCTCAGGTTATTCAATTCAATAAACAGTGCCAAACACCTGTGCCAGATGGTGTTTTGGGCACAGGGATACAAAGTGAATAGTCAGTCCCCTGTCCTTGAGATGACATCCTCAGAGAGAAAGGAGGCATGAGCAAGAATTGGAGGGTGCAGGGCAGGCCTGGACAATGTCTGCTGGCTCTCAGAGGCTTTACAGGCATTGGATGACCGTGATTCCACCAGCCAAGGTGATAAATAGGGGACAGGGCACCTGGGGTCTATGCAGGTAATAGGCTAAGCTGGAGGGACCTGTGAGTGCTCTGCTCTGGCTTTGGGGATGCACAGTAGATGGTCCTAGAGCTCAGGAAAGATGAGAAGTGAGGTCACAGGGGTGGGTATCATTCCTACAGAGGGGAGAACAGAATCAATAGGCACAGATGACGTCACATGAAAAGAAACCTTAGAACAAGGGGTCTCAGCGTCAAGCCCAAGGGAAGGCTGACATGGAAGGGATGAAGGGGAAGAGAACTCACTGAAGGAGCACCGGAGAAAGCGGGGAAAGCCAAGAGAAAGCAGCTATGGGAGCCAAAACAAGATCATTTCAAGAACAAAGGAGTGTTCAATGCCTCAGAGAGAGACTTGTCAGATGAGAGTGAGGCGGGACTGATGGAGACAGAGACAGCTCACGTGGCTCATGCAGTGGAGATTTTTTTCCCAGTGGCTTCTCTAGTATTCTGATTTCCCTTGATTTTAATTGTCACAGACCTTTTTTTTGCTAAAGGCAGCTGTAATATTTAAACATTTTTCTATAAACATGGCTTCAATTCCCTGGAGGAATTACTCTCATGAGCCAGAACAGACACATAGAGCAGCCGACCAAGGTAAGCACCTGAAGAGCAAGAGAGGAAAAAGCAGAACACACCAAAACTAAGGACTTTTCTTCTGGAATTGTCACAGTCAGGGCCACCTCCGGCTCCAAGATGTCAAACTCAACCTGATCTCCGGCGATCACCTGGTCCCGGCAGCCGAGCACATGAGGGCAAAAAGAGGCCCGGAAGATACCTGGGGGCAGAGGGAGGCAGTCCTGTCACACCCCTGCCAGGACAGGTGAACCCCCAAACCCGCCCTGCTCCCCATAGCTCACCTGACTGCAGCCGTCCTCCGTCCACAGACACCTGTGCTGGGAACGTGGGATGTGCTGGTTGATAAAAATGGACGACGATGACATACCGACCTGGGCGTGGTACTAGTCCTCGAAGGGTCACCTGGTTCTAGATGGAAAAAAAAACAAACTTCTCAAGCTGCAGAGCTATTAATAATTAGAATCAGAGGATATCTCAAGAATAAAAATCAAAACAATGCAGGTATTTATCCAGGAAAGACTGGGACACTGGGAAAGACTGAAGGCAAAAGAAGGGGGCGAGCAGGCAGAGGATGAGATACATAGCATCACCGACTCAATAGACATGAGTCTGAGCAAACTCCAGGAGGTAGTGAAGGACAGGGAAGTCGGCTATGCTACAGTTTATGGGGTTGCAAAGAGTAAGACATGACTTAGTGACTGAACAACAACAATCTACCCAAGTGAAGTGAAAAACCCACATTCACACAAAGCCTTCCCTTGAATCTCTGTAGCAGCTTTATTTGTAGTCACAAACACTGGAAACCAACCACGTGACTTTCAGCTACAGAACGGACAAGCCAACAGTGGGACAACCATAAACAAGACTAGAGGGAGTCTCATTTGGTACAATCACTTTGGGAAACTATATGTGGTTTTTACCAAACATATAATTAAGCAATTGCATTTCTAGGTATGTCACAAGAGAAATGCACGCTCTGTGTGTAAAAGGCCATACAAGAATGTTCCCAGCATTCAAGCACTACTTGTAACAACCATGTAACAAAGAGTCAGACTCCATTTTTTCTGTTTTTCTGTTTTCTGTTTCAAGATCCATCCTTCATCTTTTGTCTTTTGTCCCACAGCTGAACAAGCTGTAAGAAAGCCCAGGTGTTCATCCCTTGGCAGAGGTGGGAAGTTCAAACCCCATAAATTCTAGCCCATGAGAGAGGGAGCCCTCACCTGGACCCCACCCCCACCCCACTATGCCCCTGCCTAACCATAATGAAAACCAGGGTCAGACTCCAACACTCGCTCAGGCTTTTGTGCAAGCCAGGTTCTCCCCAGAAAGCCTCACCATGTGAGTAATAAGTCTTTCCAAACATCAAAATAATAATTAAAAAACTACAAGAATAGCAACAATAAAAGATTATCTTTCAAACGAGAGCTGGTTCTTGGAGAGTAAGTAACTTACTAAAGGTCATGGACTAATTTTATAGCAAAACCAGGACTAGAACTCTATTGTCATGACTGTAATTCATTCCCCCCTACTACTCTAGGCTGCCTACTCCATATGGGATATTATTAAATTTTTTCTCCCAAATCCGTTTATTTCCTATCTTAATGCAACATGAAACGACACAAGCCATCTCTAGGATTAAAAAGACATGTCATCAGAACAAACATTAAGTCCTGCAATTCTGTGTTTTATGATGAAAAAAAGTGTGTTCCCTTCATATATTTCATCTTTGTGCTCTAGATGATTAATCAACACATGTTTATTGGGAATTTCCTGCCTACAAATTGGGGTTGCAAAAAAATCTGTTAGATTTCTAAAAGTGCTTATGTTCTCATTTAAGAAGATAATTAATAAACTTAACCATGTTAAGTAGCAGTAGCCCATGCAAATATGACCTATCCTAAGATGGGTTATGAAAAATTGCCAAATGACTGTCCAGACAGAGATGCAAGAGAGAAAGAGAGCGTCGGGATAGGCTGGCCACAGACAGAACTGCAAGCCTCATTCCTGGGATTCTCCACAGTTGAGAGCAGAGGTGCTTAAGCTTTACGGGCAGCCAACACCCCTTGAGGAGTCTGTTAAAACACAGATTCCTGGGCCACCCTCCAGAGTTTCTGACTCGGCAGTTCTGGGGTGAGGCTTGGAGATCTGCATTCCTAACAAGTTCTCAGGGGTTGTGGTGGTGGGGGATGCAGCTGGTTGGGGCCACACTTTGAGAACCACCAGTTCAGAAGAAACACACTCGGGGTAACCCTACCTGTGGGGCCTTCAAGGTGACCCCAAGAACAGCATAGGCAAGAGGTGAAGGATCCTCAGGCAGGAGTGGGGAAGATCCACCACTCGGGACATCCAAAATCAGTGCTGTCGGAGGAGTTTCGGGGGGCAGGGAGACACAGAAGGCACTGGAAAACAGAATGTGGAAAAATAACCAAACCCGAAGAACTGTCCCTTCGTGAAGAGACAGACTCTAAGCATCAGAAGGACCCAGAGAAGGGCTTCCCCTGGGGATCCACTGGTTAAGACTCTACGCTTCCACTGCAGGGCATGCAGGTTTGACCCCTGGCTGGGGAAGTTCCACATACCACCTAGTGCAGCCCCAAAAAAAACATTTGAGACTCCCCTAGTGGTTCAGAGATTAAGACTTCACCCCTAAATGCAAGGAGTGTGGGTTTGATCCCACTGGCCTCGTGGCCAAAAAAACAAAATATAAAACAGAAGCAGTATTGTAACAAATTCAATAAAGACTTTAAAAATGGTCCACATAAAAAAAAAATCTTAAAAAAAAAAATGGATCCAGAGACCGACAGGTCTGCAGAGATCTTTATACAAAGATATTTGGTGTTCTGGATTGGCCAAGAATATCCCAGTTGCCTGCCTAATACAATGAGCTCAGACCAGAAAAAAAATCTTAATTTTGAAGGAAAGGAAGCTAGATGGAATCTTACTGAAGCTTCCCTCTCTAGTACTAAAATTCATTGCTAAATGAGATCAATGGAATGAAACATTATTCACCTCTAAACATCAATGCTGACATAAAGCTATATAAAAACAAAGAGAACAAACAGTCATCATTTCTTTCAGGCACAGCCAGATTTTATTGTCTTGGTGGTTTCCATAAAGATGCATAAGATGTCATGACTGTGTCCCTAGAGAATTTTTGAATCTACATCCAAATAACCTTCCCCAAATCCTAATAATCATTGGTTACCTAATTCTCATAACATAGTTGTGAGATGGGTCATTATTTTCATGGTTTTTTAAATGAAGAGTCTCAGACACAGAGATTAAAGGATTGGAACAGACTGGATCTTGGTGAGAGCTCAGAATAGAAAACAGAGTAACTCCCCTCAAGGACAAGGCTTAACCATTTCCCCCAGTTGCTACTGTGTCAGCTTCCTGATGTTACAGAATTCTGGAAAAATTGCTGGGATAAATGATTTAGCTCGTTAAAAAAAAAATAATGCACCACCAGCTTTTAGCATCTTGGCCTGGGATCACTTCTAAAGTGAAATATAAAGCATAACCTAAAAAGCATTAAGTATCACTAAGAACAAACAAGGGATAAATGAAGGAAACACATTACCTTTGATTAACAAATCGCCCATAACTGGCAATGCATTTGACGTGAGGTCTCAAATATTCTGTTGAGAATTCTTCAATCGGTATGATACAAATTTGATGCTGTCCAACAAATATAACAAGGTACATGCCAGTTATCACCCAAGTCAAGGTTATAACCAAACATGCACTTCAAAGAAAACAGCTAAGAATTCATCCAGAGAAATTAAAACTATCACTTTACAGCAGTAAATATCATAGGATAGCATTCTCTATGGCATCATTACATGGACACAAATTCTTTTACTGTTATACAGGATCACTGATAAATTGTTCCTGGAATAATCATATAAACAAATAAAATCATGTGAAAGTTCAAAACAACTCTGTCAGCAACTTTGGACAGTGGCTTCTCTCCTGCCCTGGGCTGATGCTGGTTCCTCAGACCCCTAGGCAGGGAGAGGCAGATGTGGTAGGCAGTTGGGGAGCTTGCTGTTCAGAAAGACGGATGCTCCTGCTATAAATAACCCTTCTCAATAGAGGAGGACTCGTATCGCAGGCATATCTGAACTCTTGTCTCCAGAGCTAGTTTCTGAGTCACAGAAGACACTCAGTCAATAAGTTAATACCACTTTTCATTTTAAATCAATAACTATAACCGGCTAGGTCACAAAGCTATTCAGTAACAACAGATTTTAACTGAACACCTACTATATGCCAGGTACTGAGACTGGGGAATCATATGAGACCAAGATGGACACACTCCTACTTTCATGGAGCTTTTATTATAGCCGGCCTTGACTCTGAATGACATCTGACTATTTCAGAAAGGGCAAACTTATGCTTAAACGAAGAACTTTCAGCCCCATCACAATTTCCAAAGATGAAAGGGTTAAGATTCACTTGGCTCATTATGTTCAAAAAACAAAGTCATCCTTAAAATAATAAAAGTCTTGAGTTATATAGCCTATAATAATTTTTAAAATATGAATTCCAGGTAGTTCTTAAGAGAAAGCTCAACATTTCTAATACTGTCAAGCACACATATTTAAAACATATTAGAACAGGCTGGCCTGGCATTTCCCAGGTGTGATACATGCTTAATATTAGCAGTAACAGGAAGTTGCTTCATACTTAATCTTATGTTCTCTGAGGTATTTATTATAAATCTGAGCACCCCATTCCTAGCCCAGATCCCACTGTCTCTGTCTCACAATTCTCAACACTAAAGTTATGCTATTAAAAGGGTATTTAATCTGTAAAAGGTAGCATTTTAACTGTTAACAATATATATCTAATTAATTGAAAATACTCTTCTTGAAACAGAGCAACAATGGTCTGGAAAAAAATACCAGGTGATTGCAACCTTGAAAATTCTGAAGGAATCTGCAAAGAAGCTAACAAACATAATAAGAGAGTAGAGTGTAAAGAAAATAAACAGTCCCTAATGACGTTTCTATATACCAGCAGTAATAATAGACTAGGAGATATACTGACAAAAGATATTTCATCCATAATAGTAACAACAAATAAAAATGAATTAAATGGAGTTTTGTGAAATATGTCCAAATTTGATGACTGAACTTTAATGGATGCTATAGGAAAAGGTTCCAACAAATGAAGGAGCAAAACAGATTTCTAGATGGGAAAGTAAACATCGTAACTCCAGCAGTTCTCTGCAGGTTAATTTTATAGATGTAATGCAAACCCAGCCAAAACTTCAATAAGCTTTAGAAATATATATGCTTATCAATAAAAAAATATTTCTAAAAATCAGTGGCCAAAACAGAAGCATACCAGAAGGAATTGGGCCATCCGGGCTCTGAGCCGAATGTCCGCATCTGCTAAGAGCTCGTACACGGCGAGGCGACCCCTGCCGTCGGTCACAGCGCTGCGACAGAGGACGCTGCAAGAAGAAACAGTTTATCTCAGCCTGGCTCTCCTGGTCTCCCTCCCACCCCTGTGTGGTGGCTGATCGTGCTTCAGCTTCTCCTGTTCATAACTGGGTCACCAACAGTGAACTTCCCTGCAGGTGGAGTTTAGCATGGATGCAACCCATCATCGGTGTGGGAAAAAGAACCTTCTTTCTGTGCTCTGAGCTGTACCACTCAGGGCTGATGGCCATCACCACCTCCACTGGTTTTATGGAATATCTGGTTTGGTCTTCTGAGAAACAGCCGGAGGGCCAGTAAAGTCTGATCTCTAAGGCAGTCTTCTTGGAAATTGACCAATATCGTTGGTAGTGGCGGTTTAGTTGCTAAATCGTGTCTGACTCTTGCAACCCCATGGACTGTAGCCCTCCAGGCTCCTCTGTCCATGGGATTCTCCAAGCAAGAATACTGGAGTGGGTTGCCGTGCCCTTCCTCTAGGGGATCTTCCCGACTCAGGGATCGAACACTGGTTTCCTGCATTGCAGGCGAAGATAAATCTTTATCAGAGTTATCACAGCACTTTTTTTTTCCATTTATTTTTATTAGTTGGAGGCTAATTACTTTACAACATTGCAGTGGTTTTTGTCACACATTGAAATGAATTAGCCATGGATTTACATGTATTCCCCATCCCGGTCCCCCCTCCCACCTCCCTCTCCACCCGATCCCTCTGGGTCTTCCCAGTGCACCAGGCCCGAGCACTTGTCTCATGCACCCAACCTGGGCTGGTGATCTGTTTCACCCTAGATAATATACATGTTTCAATGCTGTTCTCTTGAAACATCCCACCCTCGCCTTCTCCCAGAGTCCACAAGTCTGTTCTATACATCTGAGTCTCTTTTTCTGTTTTGCATATAGGGTTATCGTTACCATCTTTCTAAATTCCATATATATGTGTTAGTATACTGTAATGGTCTTTATCTTTCTGGCTTACTTCACTCTGTATAATGGGCTCCAGTTTCATCCATCTCATTAGAACTGATTCAAATGAATTCTTTTTAATGGCTGAGTAATATTCCATGGTGTATATGTACCACAGCTTCCTCATCCATTCGTCTGCTGATGGGCATCTAGGTTGCTTCCATGTCCTGGCTATTATAAACAGTGCTGCGATGAACATTGGGGTGCACGTGTCTCTTTCAGATCTGGTTTCCTCGGTGTGTATGCCCAGAAGTGGGATTGCTGGGTCATATGGCAGTTCTATTTCCAGCTTTTTAAGAAATCTCCACACTGTTTTCCATAGTGGCTGTACTAGTTTGCATTCCCACCAACAGTGTAAGAGGGTTCCCTTTTCTCCACACCCTCTCCAGCATTTATTGCTTGTAGACTTTTGGATAGCAGCCATCCTGACTGGCGTGTAATGGTACCTCATTGTGGTTTTGATTTGCATTTCTCTGATAATGAGTGATGTTGAGCATCTTTTCATGTGTTTGTTAGCCATCTGTATGTCTTCCTTGGAGAAATGTCTGTTTAGTTCTTTGGCCCATTTTTTGATTGGGTCATTTATTTTTCTGGAGTTGAGCTGGAGGAGTTGCTTGTATATTTTTGAGATTAATCCTTTGTCTGTTGCTTCGTTTGCTATTATTTTCTCCCAATCTGAGGGCTGTCTTTTCACCTTGCTTATAGTTTCCTTTGTTGTGCAAAAGCTTTTAAGTTTCATTAGGTCCCATTTGTTTATTTTTGCTTTTGTTTCTAAAATTCTGGGATGTGGGTCATAGAGGATCCTGCTGTATCACAGCACTTTTATGGAAAGTGGTATTCCTTTGCCTTTCTGCTGGGGTATTGCTTTTTAACAACACAGACCTCATTTGAGAAACACTGGGAAAGTTTCAAACCTCAGCAGGAGAAGCTGCCATGTTGAAAGGGTCTGTCATTTGAAATAGGTTTTTATGGGTTGAATATTTTCCAATTGCACCATATTTTTGGACTCTGGTACTTGGTAGCCTAGTCACTTATACTGATCACATGACATGCAAAGTAGAGAAAAAGGGAATATTTTAAACAAGTGAAAAGACACCATGGGACTTGCCTGGGAGTGGTTAAATACTGGTCTAATGCAATACTGTCTTCGAAATCTAACGATGGAGAACTTTGGTGCTGTCACCACATCTGGAGTCAAAATCATCTGCAGAACATCATGCACTTCTCTCCTTAAAACCCCATTCAGAAGGAGGGAGGGGCAACCCACTCCAGTATTTTTGCCTAGGAAAGCCCAAGGACAGAGGAGCCTGGAGGGCTAAAGTCCATGGATTGCAAAAGAGCCAGACATGACTTAGTGACTAAACAACAACATGGCTATCTATACTGATGTGTTATCTTTATTACAAGGAGTTAAATAATTTAGTGATGAATGTGAAAGTGTTAGTTGTTCAGTCATGCTCTACTCTTTGCAACTGCATGGACTGTAGCCCTCCAGGCTCCTCAGTCCATGGAATTCTCCAGGCAAGAATACTGGAGTGGATAGCCAATCCCTGCTCTAGGGGATCTTCCTGACCCAGGGACTGAACCTGGGTCTCCAGCACTGCAGGCAGATTCTTTACCATCTGAGCTATCAGAGATGTTGCTGGTGATGAGCCCTGTTATAATATTTAAAAGAAAAATCTCACGTCCTATTGAGAGCAAACCAGCCTGGAGAAACAGTATGGTCTAGACTGCCGCATTGTCAAGTAGACTTTCTGAGGTGATGAAAATATTCTCTATCTGCACCATCCAGAATCATAGCTACTAACAACACATGACTATTGAGACTTGGCATGTGGCTAGTGAACCTCAGGAGCTAAACTTTTTCCTTCATTGAATTCAAACTGATTTAAACTTGGGCGGCTCAGTGGTAAAGAATCCATCAGCCAATGCAGGAAATGCAGGAGACACAGGTTCAAACCCTGGGTCAGAAAGATCCCCCGGTGGAGGAAATGGCAACCCACTCTAGCATTATTATTGCCTGGACAGAGGAGCCTGGCAGACTAAGGTCCATGCAGTTGCAGAGTCAGACACAATGAAGCCCGCAAATGAATAGAAACATATTTAAATAGCCACATGTAACCAATACTGTCTGAAACAGGATACAAATAGAATAAAGGACATGGAGCTTAAAAAAAAAAAGCCACTGCTCAACAAAGGTCCTGAAATAATGCTTCAGACTCATGCATCCCCAGAAGAGGGTCCCTCCTTTCTTCAGTTTTGAAATCACTCCTCTGCTTGGCGTAGATGTCTCAGCCTCTCCTAAGATAGTCAAGAGTGACAAAGGTCATAAGGAAGGTTTCTTCCTGTCCTGAGCCATCTCCACTTTGTACCCAGTGGAGGGGGAGTCAAACCCTGACCTGGAAGGCAGAAGGGGTCAGAGAACTGAACTGGAGGGTGGGTTTGGATGGACAGGTTACGTAGAAGTCCTACTCCAGGTCACATGGGTGACAGTCTCCCAGATTCCAATAGCGAGGTGAACCACCCATCTGGAAATGTACATCCTGGTGGTTGCTAATGTCACCTAGAGATGAAACTAGTATTTTCATATAATGACAGAATATTCTGGAGGAATTCTGCTGGGCCATCTGGTACTCCTATTAAAAATGCAAATATAATTACATTCTTTGGTTTTTTTTTAATCATCATCCCAGAGAAAAGGAAAGATGAGATTTTTTTTTTTTTTTAAGATTTTGAAAAGAAGCCTTCACAGTTAATTTTTTAGGGTTGCCGAGCACGTGATATTCATTTAATAACCATTTCCAGTCTCATAAAATTTTCCATTCTAAGCTACCAAAAGTGACACTTTTCATAAGTTCTTTTCTTTGCAACACAGAGAGAGTGTCCAATTCTTCAAATCATCTTGGGTTTGACACAAGGCATGTGAGTGTAGAGGTCACGACACGTTCAAAGTCTGAGTGGAGAACTGGGACGGCTCACAGTAAGGGCTTCCTAGGTGGCACTAGTGATGAAGAATCCACTTGCCAATGCAGGAGATCTAAGAATCGTGGGTTTGACCCCTGGGTTGGGAAGATCCCCTGGAGAAGGGAACAGCAACCCACTCCAGTATTCTTGCCTGGAGAATCCCATGGACAGAGGAGCCTGGTGGGCTGCAGTCCAGGGTCGTAAAGAGATGGACACAACTGAAATGACTAAACAGCATGCACACTGTAGTTCCCCACCTGCTTTCTCAGGAGACTCTGCCTTCCAGTGCTATTTATTCTACAGTTAATTCCATGGGGAAACATCCTTTGCACTGATTCTCTAATCAAAGAATACTCTGAACATCTGCATACATCTTGAGTCATTATGCAAAGAAAACGATTTTCAATAAATCCTTGTCAGAGCTTTTGGAAGAGACGAACTTCATCAGGGTGAATCTGAGATTCCTCTGTCAAATTATGTTTCACATGATGCTCGTCAAACATTAATAACTCCCAGTTCTTAAGGGCATGTTGCAAATGCAGGAGTAATGGAGAATGTGCCAGGCACCCATGAACTCTACACCGTGTTTGAGAGAAAGGCCCTGGGTTCAGTGCCTGCCGTGGGGGCAACAGAATAAACAAAAAGACTGTGCTGCTTCTTGTGGGCGTGAGTGTGTTACTCAGTCGTGTCTGACTCTGTGAGTCCATGGACTGTAGCCCACCAGGCTTCTCTGTCCATGGGATTCTCCAGGCAGAATACTGGGGTGGGTAGCCTATCCCCTTTTCCAGGGAATCTTCCTGACTCAGGGATCAAACCTGGGTGTCCTACGTTGCAGGCAGATTCTTTACTGTCACCAGGGAAGCCCCTGCTTCTTGTGAATCTGAGCCAAAATGCTAAGTAGAACATGCAGCTTTTCTAGAAAAAGCAAGATTTTTAAGGCACTGCCTATGGAGAAGCCTTCCAGTAGCACACCAGGGGTGATGCTGGATCGCAAAACTCGTCCCCTGCTGGTTCTCAAGCTCAACCTACAAAGGGAACAATTTCCCAAGTCAGATAAAAACCAAAGTTCCCATGGCTGACCTCCTGCCTGTTCAGTTAGAGCGGACGCCCCCAGGGCAGGACACTTACCTGTACTTGCAGCTGTAGATGTCCACCTGGCCTGCCAGGTCAGCCCCGGGGCTCTGCACGTGCACTGCGGCCTCAGACAGCTGCTCTGCTTCCGAGGCGTACTCGACCATGATGATGTATTGGCCGACCCGTGGGACCGGCAGCCACAAGTGCAGCTCCACCTGTTGAAGAGCCCGAGATGTTGGAGACGTGAGATGCACTGGATGCGTCTCCACAGGCAACAGTGAAACTGGGGCTGAGCAGACCCCTGGAAGGAGTTTTATATGTCATCACAGTAAGAAACATGGTGCTTCCCGGGTGGTGCTAGTGGTAAAGAATCCGCCTGCCAATGCAGAAGACGCCAGAAACACAGGATCTTTTTGAACCCTGGATCGGGAAGATCCCCAGAGTAGGAAATGGCAACCCACTCCAGTATTCTTGCCTGGAAAATCCCATGGACAGAGCAGCCTGGCGGGCGTTTTATATGTCATCACAGTAAGAAACATGGTGTTTCCCGGGTGGCGCTAGTGGTAAAGAATCCGCCTGCCAATGCAGAAGACGCCAGAAACACAGGATCTTTTTGAACCCTGGATCGGGAAGATCCCCGGAGTAGGAAATGGCAACCCACTCCAGTATTCTTGCCTGGAAAATCCCATGGACAGAGCAGCCTGGCGGGCTACAGTCCACGGGGCAGCAGAGAGTTGGACANCTGGAAAATCCCATGGACAGAGCAGCCTGGCGGGCTACAGTCCACGGGGCAGCCGAGAGTTGGACACAACTGCGTGATGGAGCACTCAGTAAGAAATGTGGTCCTGCAGGCAGGGATCTCCAATAAAATACAGGGTGCTCTGTTAAGTTTGAGATTCAGATAAACAATACATAATTATAGTTCAACTACAATTCAAACTAAATGGGGGCATCCAGTATTTTTATTGTCTAAATCTGATGACTCTACTAATAGGGGTCTCTGCTCCTACTACTGAAACAGAGCAGGACTCTATGGTCCTTCCTCCTGAACATGTCCTCTGCTTGTCGTTTGTCTGTGGAAAAACTTTAGCCGAAGAATAAGTTTAACCAGAGAAGTGAGAAAATGCAGAAACGAAGGAAAACAGTCGAAGGAAACCAAATAACCATAACGGAGTCACTACACATAGTCAAGGACTTTGAGTTCCTTCTCAAGGGCTATAGATAATATCCTGAGCCATATCCTGTGAGCTGTCTTATAGATATTGAAATCCTCATCAAGTGGAGAAGTTAAGTACATGATAACCAGACTGCAGTCATGACATGAAATGCCACAACTGCAAGAACTGGCCTCCAGAAATTGAAACAAATTGACCCTGGAACTGCATATTAAATCTATTAAAACAATCAAGAAGACACTGGTCAGATCGCCAGTAACCAATTTCAAGCTGACTGTCAGGGCTGAGTGTGTGATTTCTGCATGTAGCCCCCTCCCTCTGTCTATGAAAGCTCTTGACCACTCATGGTCAGTGGGAGGAGCCGGCCTATGGACAGGAGTCTGTTCCCCCTGCCCCTCCTGCTGCTGCCAGCATGCAACATAAAGCACACTTTCTTTTTCCACCATCCTGGCCTCTCTGATGGCTTTTGAGAGGCGAGCAGCTGGGCCCAGGTTTGGTATTATTATCCATATATTTCCCTTGTTTCTCAAGGCCAAAGATACTTTAAAACCTGAAGTAAAAAGGAATTTCCAGTGGGAGATAAAAGGAATGGAAGTATGCCTCCTTGATGGGCTACAAAGCTGAAAATATTCACTATCTGGTTCTTTACAGAAGAAGCATGCCCAGCCCTGGCATCACCTAGTGGCTAGGAGCCTGGAGTCTGGAATCACACTGCTTCCAGCTGTGTGTCCTGGAGCAAGTTACTCAACATCTGTATGTCTCAGTATCCTCCTGTGTAAAAATAAGGATAACATAGTGCCCACCTCTTAAGATTATGAGGATTAAGTGAATTAATATGGGATGAGCTCTTCGAACTATATCTGGCCTGTTGTAAGCCCTGTATAAGGGGCTTCCCTGGTGGCTCAGATGGTAAAAAAAATCTGTCTGTAATGCAGGAGACCTGGGTTCCATCCCTAGATTGGGAAGATCTCCTGCAGAAGGAAATGGCTACCCACTTCAGTACTCTTGCCTGGAGAATCCCATGGACAGAAGAACCTAGCGGACTACAGTCCATGGGGTTGCAAAGAGTCAGACACGACTGAGCGACTAACACGCACACACATACACGCACTGTATAAACAGTGATTACTGTAACTGTGGTTACTGCTTTTTGCCATGACTTTTTTTTTTAAACTCAGTAGTATGTAGTGTGCCACACAAACATACTTCACTCCTCTAAGGCCTGCCCTTCCTCCTATTCCACAGTACAAATGTAAAATCATTTATTTAACTAATCCCCTACTGATAGACATTTAGGTTAGCTCTAATTTTTCCTAAAACATATAAGGCTATATGATCATTTATCTATATCTCTCTATATAAGTATATATCCATATTTATATCTATGGAAGAAAGGGAAAGTGTTAAGTGCTCAGTCATGTCTGACACTTTGCCACCCCATGGACTGCAGCCCACCAGGCTCCTCTGTCCATGGGATTCTCCAGGCAAGAATACTGGAGTGGGTAGCCATTCTCTTCTCCAGGGAATCTTCCTGACCTAGGTGTCAAACTCAGGTCTCGTGCATTGCAGGCGGACTCTTTACCATCTGAGCTAGCAGGGAAGCCTATTTACATCTATATCAGGATCTATATCCTTTTGCTAGTATTTCTGTAAGATTCCTAGAAGTGGAATTAGAATCACTAGATAAAAGTGTGGTGCGCATTTAATTCCTGAGTCAGTATCAGAACTACATTCCTTAGGCAGTTTAACCCACTTCGGCCCATAAGCTCAGGGCCTGTCAAGCTTCACCACACTTAATTAAAATCCTCCTGCCTCTGGTATTCTTCAGGAAATTCACATCTGCTGTTCCTTCCACACAGCTCTGAACCTCACACCTGCTTATTTTTCACGGTGATTTTTCTATCACTTAAATAATAGAAAGACTTCCCTCCAGGTGTAGATTACCTACACCACTTTCCCACTGGTTATACGGTGAAATATGATGCTGCCACTGGTCCACAAGGAGAGGTAATTACCAACATCTCTCCCCTGGGATCTCCAAATGAGGGCTTCTCTGTCTTCACCCCACCATGAAACACACAAGGCCAATGATGAGCTTTCTCCCAGGAATTATTATTGGCTTCCAGGTCTACCATAGCGCTCTATTATAAATTTCTATTACTCTTTCTACTCCAAGCCATATGGGTTGGCTTTTGGAAGACTTGGTAGGGTTTTGAATATATCTGATGATAGAAATGGGTTTTGAGGAGTCAGAAAAAAGATGCAAATGATAGAAAACAGAAACCCTACTGTTGCTATTTATCAGTTATTATCTTTGAAGGCTTCCTAGGTGGTGCAGTATAAAGTATCTTCCAGCCAATGCAGGAGAAAAGCAGAGACGTTACTCTGCTGACAAAGGTCTCTACAGTCAAGGCTATGGTCTTCCCCGTTGTCACATATAGTTGCGAGAGCTAGACCATAAAGAAGGCAGAATATCAAAGAATGTCCCTTCAAAATATGGTGCTGGAAAAGACTCCTGAAAGCCCCTTGGACAGCAAGGAGATCATACCAGTCAATCTTAAGGGAGGTCAACCCTGACTATTCACTGGAAGGACTGATGCTGAAGCTGAAGCTCCAGTGTTTTGGTCATGTGATGTGAATAGATGATTCATTGGAAAAGTCCCTGATGCTGGGAAAGATCAAGGGCAGAAGGAGAAGAGGGCGTCAGAGGATGAGATGGCTGGATGGCATCACCAATGCAATGAACATAAACTTGGGCAAAATTTGGGAGATGGTGATGGACAGGGAGGCCTGGCATGCTGCAGTCCGTGGGGCCTCAAAGAGTCGAACACGGGAGTTGTTCAGTTGGGTGACTCAACAACAACAACAACTGAGATATCTAAGAGGTAACGTCATGAAGGAAGTGGGCTGTGCTACTCTGTATATAAAATGGGAGGTGTGACTGGACATATCAATTTGAGAATCATCTGCATAGAACTGGTACCTAACACAAAAGACACTGCTTAGGGAGGGACTACAGCGTAAAAAGACAAGGGCTAAGACTGAACCTCAATAAATTCTAACATTTAATGCCTAGACACAGAAGGACAAACCTACAAATGATCGTTTGAGGAAGCAGCCAGAGAGGTACAACGAGACCCAGTCTGCTCTTAAATTCTGGAATTTAAATTCTGCTTTTAAATTCAAGGCAAAAAGACTGTTCTTAAATGGAAGGTGTATTCAACAAGTATTGAAAGCTGCTGAGAAGTTGAATAGACGAAGACTGGAAAATATCCATTGGACTTAGCAGAGCAACAGAATCACTGGAAATCCTGCCCCCAACCACCAAAAAAATTAATGGGACTGCGAGGTGAAAGTCAGGCTGGTGTGGGTTGAGGTATGAATGGAAAGTAAAGAATTAGAAATTGTGAATCTAGACAATTCTTGGTTTTGAAGGGATAGAGAGTTATGGAGCAGTGGTTGAAGGATTGTGGGAAGGGGAAGTAGGGTTTTCATAAAAACAGGATGAAAGTGAAAGTCACTCAGTTGTGTCTGACTCTTCATAGTCCATGGAATTCTCCAGGCCAGAATACTGGAGTAGGTAGCTGTTCTTTTCTCTAGGGGATCTTCCCGACTCAGGAATCAAACCAGGGTCTCCTGCATTGCAGGCAGATTCTTTACCAACAGAGCCATCAGGGAAGCAAAAATAAGACAGAACTTAGCATTTTTTAAATGTGGGATGACTTCCAATTCAGACGGCACAGGAATTCATATTTGCTGTACCCCTTCTCCAAGAGACAGCAACTATGGGTGTGAATTAGTCGTAAAAAAAGGATTTTTTTTGTTTTGCAACCCTACAGTTGTGACTGTAGCCCACCCGGCTCCTCTGTCCACGGAACTCTCCAGGCATGAACCCCAGAGGGGATTGCCATGTCCCTCTCCAGGGGATCTTCCCGTCCCAGGGACTGAACCCAGGTCTCCCGCATCACAGGCAGATTCTTTACCACCTGCGCCACAAAATAATGTTTTAATAGTAAAAAAACAACAACAACCACAAAAGAAGTTTGGGATTAAAAGGAGACAGATGATGGAACATAAGTAAAAGAAAAACTTGAAATGGCACCAGGGCTGAAGTCACAGGCTTGTTGTTCTCCAGGCCGGAAGCAGGCTGTGTGGGCCAGCAGTTCAGAATATGCAGAGTAAAGAGAACTAAAAATGCTTCAAATGAGACAGGGGCCAGATCCAGGCTCATTTTTTGAAGCCAAAGGATGAAGGTTCCTTCACATCATGAAAAGTTGAAGAAAAAAAAAATCACTGAAAACCTGCCTTCTGGGTTTCAGCTTTATAAAAAATGGTGGGATATGGAAAACAAAGATCAAAGATGAAGCCCAGGACCAAGAACTGAGTTAAGCACCCACAGGCTCAGTGTCTGAGCCTGTACTATTCCCAGGACCACAATAAGAGACGTTGGCACATTGTTATGCCTGGCTCTGGGCTAAGGGTACAGAGACCCAGACAGACAGGCCAAACTGAGATGGATGTAGGGAAAAAGGGAGAAGATAGAAACCTCTGACTCAAAGTAAGCCAGTAAGCAAACAAAATAAGCCTTCACAACATAAAGAAATCTAACGTTAAGAAGAACAGTCAAGGGGACTTCCCTGGTAGTCCAGTGGCTAAGACCTCATGCTCCCAATGTGGGGGTTGGGTTTGATCCCTGGTCAGGGAACCACATCCCACATATGGTAAGCTAAGACCCAGCATAGCCAATAAATACATAAATATTTAGGAAAAAAAGAATTTTTCTCTTTTTTAAAAAAATACAGACAATAACATATCGTCAAGTGAAGATGAGTTTACCTCAGATGAAATAAACTTTATGAAAGTCTGGAGAAGTTTTAAAATAAGTACACTGGTCCCTAATCCAGAACCCCAAAAGTCTGAAAAGGAAAACTTGTTTTCAAACGTGTTTGGTTACAAAACCTAACCTAACTCTAACCAGTCATCACTTGGTGGTAAAATCTGACCTGAACTAACTCCAAATATATAGTCTTCGTGTACCTCCCTTGGTGTGTCTATTCACGCTTTTCACTGGAAAAATTTTAACCTGTCTGACTACAAGGTGCTATTCCAGAACCCACTATAGAGGTTATGTATGTGTGTACAATCTTATCTTTTTAAAATTTTAAATAAAAATTCTGAATTCTAAACTATACCTTGCTCCAAGGATGTTGAGAAACTCAAAAAGATTAATGGAGTAACTCCTCTTTAAAAAGTAAACGAAATTATGAAATAAAAATTGGCAGAGGAGAAACAAGAAAAAAGTAAATATAAGAAAGAGCTAGTAAGAAATCTTTTGAGATGAAAAGTACATGTTACATGGAATTGGAAGGCTGAATAAAATCTAGACTAGAGACGGTGAACTAGAACATTCATGGATTCTAAGAGAGTCTTGAGGAAGTCACTCAGAAAGCAGTATAAAGAGCCAAAGAAACATACAAATATGAAAAAGCAGCTTAGAGACAGATTGAGAGGCTCCAACATTCTTCCAGTCTGACTTCCAGAAAAGAAGATGAAAGGATTTGCAGCAAAGCAATATCTGTAGAGATACTATCCGAAAAATTCTCAGGGTAAAAGACATGACTCTTCACATGAAATTGCATTTTGAGTACTAAAATAATAAAAATAAATCTGCACCTAAACACATCAAAATGAAACTTCAGAACATCACAAACAAAGTACATCCTGGAACTTCTGGTTAAACATATAGGATGCAGCACACCTATTTACTAACCCTCACTCTCAGAAATCCACAAAAATAAGGGGAAATATTTTTTGAATAATAAACCCACAAAGAAAAGAGAATAGAGAAGAGGAAAATAACAGACCAGTGACATGAAAAATCTGGAAGCTAGAATGTAATTGGATGTTAACTAATTGAACAGACCAAATAAAGATGAGATGTGTGTGTGTGTATAGTTTTGGGTTGAGGTTGAGGTTGCTGTTGTGGTTGGAGTTGGAAGAGAAAAATCTAAAAAATCTCTCAAAACATAAAACAAGATAAGGATATTGAAAAGGTGGGCTCAAGAAATAACTTATCAAAGGAATAACTCAGGAAAATTTCCCAGAGAAGTTTCTGGGTTAAAAGGGTATCACAGGTGTTGGACTAGGCTACCTCTAAAAGAAGTGAGTCCCCCATCAATTCAAGTATTCAACAGAGGCTAAATGAATCAATATATGACAAGGATAATGTAGAAAGAATTTTTTCCAGGAAGACAGATCAGATGACTCCTAAGACCTTCGCTAACTCTGTTGGACTTCCCTGGTGACTAAGCGGTAGAGAACTGGACTGCCAATACAGGATCAGTCCCTGGGTTGGGAAGATCCGCTGGAGAAGGAAATGACAACCCACTCCAGTATTCTTGCCCGGGAAATTCCACGGACAGAGGCACCTGGTGTACTACAATCCATGGGGTCCCAAAGAGTCCAACTCTAGTTGGACTAAACAACAACAACAAACTCTGTTAGTCTCTGACTTTTAGCACCGTGATCTTAACGTTTTATTAATGCTGTGCAAAAGAGCTTTCTGTGATGGCAAAATATTCTGTAATGTGTGCTGTCCAATACAGTGGGCACTAGACATATACGATTACTGAGAGCTTGAAATGTGGTTAGTGCAACTGAAGAACTGAATTTTTAGCTTTACTTAAGTTTCATTAATTAAAATATATACAGCCACATGGAGCTAGTGGCTACTGAATCAGACAGCGTAAGTCTCCAGGCCTTCAGATAAAACAGTAAAAAAATGATTTTTAAATAAAACTGGACAGCCCAGGGCTGAGTTGCATGCATCATGCAAATAGAACAGCTCAGAGCTATGGCTCCAGGCTAAGTCAGACACAGGAACAGCTCCTGATGAATCATCAGCATTACTTCCTGGACATCAGCCCTTCCCAACGGTATCTCCCTGCTATGTGGGGTACACACACACACACACATATTTGTGGATGTGTATGCATGTATGTGCATCTGTATACACACATAGCAGGGGTAGGGAGAGAGACAGTGGACTGAAGATTAGAATGGAGAGGAAGTAAGATCATTTTGCTTTTCCTTATGCATATTTTTCTTTTAAATTAATTTTTATTGAAGTATATTTCCTTTACAATGTTATGATAGTTTCTATTCTACAGCAAAGTAAATCAGCTATCCCTATACATATATCCAATACTTTGGCCATCTGATGTGAAGAGCTGACTCACTAGAAAAGACCCATATGCTGGGAAAGATCGAAGGCAGGAGGAGAAGGGGATGACAGAGAAGGAGATGGTTGGATGGCATCACCGACTCAATAGATATGAGCTTGAGCAAGCTCCAGAAGACAGTGAAGGACAGGGAAGCCTGGCGTGCTGCAGTCCATGGGGTTGCAAAAAGTCGGACACGACTGAGCAACTGAACAACAAATACATACATCCTCTGTTTTTTGGATTTCTCTCCATTTAGGCCACCACAGAGCACTGAGTAGGGTTCCCTGAGCTATACAACAGGCTCTCACTAGTTATCTATTCTATGTTGCTGTTGCTTAGTCGCTCAGTCTTGTCCGACTCTTTTGTGACCCATGGACTGTAGCCCGCCAGGCTCCTCTATTCATGGGACTGCCCAGGCAAGAATACTGGAATGGGTTGCCATTTCCTTTTCCAAGAGATCTTCCCACCCAGAGATCAAACCTGAGTCTCCTGCATTGCAGGTGGATTCTTTACTGCTAAGCGATTGGGGAAGTAATTATGTCAATCCTAATCTCCCAATTCATCTCATCCCTAACCCCCTTTCCCCTCTTGGTTCCATAAGATTGTTCTCCATGTCTGTGTCTCTTTCTGTTTTGTAAATATGATCATCTGTACCATTTTTACAGATTCCATATATATTCATGCATATTGTTTTTCTTATATAACAAGTAGAAAGGAGAAGAAGGCAGCAGAGGATGAGATGGTTAGATAGCATCACCAACTCGATGGAAATGAACTTGAGCAAACTCCAGGAGAGAGTTGGGAGACAGGGAAGCCTGGCATGCTTCAGTCCGTGAGGTCACAAAGAGTTGGACACGACTTAGTGACTGAACAACAACATACTTTTTTAATAAAAATAATAGTTGTAAAATAAAAACTCAAATAAAGACTAAACTTAAGAAATACCATTAAACTCCTACAGCTTTCTACTTTGAAAATGTTAGGAATGTAGTTTACAAAAAGATACACATCTAAATGGTGAGTGAGAATATTGCATATATTTTCATTTCACGGATTTAATCCCCCAGATGAACGTTTTCCTCAAGGGTACAAAACAGAGAACACTGTAAAAAGGAAGGAATGGGAACATTGTAGAGAAAGGTTTTGTTTGTGTGTGTGTGTGTGTCTTCATTTTGAAGTAATGAGTTCTTATTGTTGATACACAGTACTTCTAACTCAAATCTTAAAACTGTACAGTCTTAAATTGTTTTAAGGCTCAAAGAACTCCTGGAAGAAAAGCAATGCCAAGACCTGTAGTAACCTGTCCTCTGAGCCAGGAAGGAGGTGCCTTTGGGTGTAGCAGTTCCAGAATCTGAGCTCAAGGAATTCAGCTGCTAGAAATCGTCTAGCCGGAGGCGATGAGCAGTCAGTGAGCGTTGTATCCTTTTAGGGTGAGCTGTGTGATTTCTGGAGGCTTTGTAGAGACATCATGCCCTGAATCAGGACGAACATGATGCCCCCTTGTAAGTTCAAAGAATCAAAAGGAAAGAATTCTGAGGTTTCTCACATTGCCTGCCATGTACAGAAAGTGCTGGAAGACTAGCCCTCCCACGGCTCAGCGTGGTGGACTGCCCAATCCCAGCCTGAACCAGAGAACTCAGCACAGCTTTAATTAACACGTCTGGGGAAGTCTTCCAGATTTACCTGAATATGAGACGCAATTGTGGCCAAGGGTTTTCAGCAGAAGGACAGGGAGGTGGTAAAATATCTGATGGAAAAACAAAAAAAGGCTGCCTCACCTCTCTTCCACTGAGGTCCGCCATGACTGGGTGTGCGGGGGTGGGCTGCCTCACTGCCAAGGGTCTCGGCTCCCCATCAAGCAGGAAGTGTCTGGCTTCGCAAGCCAGGGCACAGGGGAATCGGGTTACTGGCAAATGCTGGTAAAGCAAACAACTTCAACAACAACAACAAAATACAACAGTTACAACTGAGAACATAACACAAAGGATCAAAGTTCATTCCCCAGGACTTCTATCCATCCCATGCATTCATTCATTCACTCATCACTCTTCAACAAACTCTTACTAAGTGCTTACTACAGGAACTGTGTGATAAATTTTCATCTGCATGAGGAATGGGAAAAGCAGAGGTCCACAAACGCAGATTCATTGTAAGCTCTTCCCCTCACTAGATGCATGACCCTGAGCGTATTACTTAGGCATGCATCGCCACTTCCTAATGTAAGAGGGTGAGAGTCACTCTGAAGCCCTAGCTACGGGATACAAAGTGGTTTGTGAGTCTTACATGAAACACAGTCACTCCCACAGAGAAAAGCCACGATTAAGTCATTAACCAGAGCATCCTGTGCAGTCATGATCCTAAGGGCTATTGAGAATCCTTGAACCCAAGGCTCCTGAGTTAGAGGACCCGGTGATGCACCTGCTGCCCATACTAACTTCTCCTGGGGATGGCCCACATCGGCACACGGCTCCGTGACTGGCAGCTGCAGCGAGGGGGCCTCATAGTAGTCCCTGGGGAGTAGCACCAGGTAGTCCTAGGAGATAAAGATCAAAACAATGAATACTCATTAGGAGGGCAGCCCTAGGTTAGTGTTAATGATAAAATAGCTGCACATACTAGCTAAATGAAAAATTATGAGGTGAAACACTCTAGTTAAATTCTCCATATCAACTGCTTTTTCTTTCTGCCCCCTGACTCATCAGAACACAAGAAGCAACCTATGGCGGCTCAGACGGTAAAGAATCTGCCTGCAATGTGGGAGACCCAGGTTCAATCCCTGGGTCGAGAAGATCCCCTGGAGAAAGGAATGGCTACCTATTTCAGTATTCATGTTTGGAGAATTCCATGGACAGAGGAGCCTGGCAGGCTACAGTCCATGGGGTCACAAAGAGTCAGACAAAACTGAGTGACTAACATTTTCACTTCTTAATCATCAGAGATAAGCGTTTCAGGCAGACAGTTTTATTTTCAAAGTTCAGGGAAGTTTTACCGGTTCTTCTGGGTTGTTAATAAACTCAGAACTAAAGATAATAATAAACTGTCCATTGAAAAGATATTCTTTTGACATGCTGGTTGCCTTCATCCATATAGGATCTAGAGTTGTAGATAATGTATTCTGGCTTTTTATTCCTCCAGCAGGAGTGACGCTCTCCTGGCTTCATGTAAAAAGTGATGTTTTGTGATCCTGGTGAATCATAGCCTGAACCTGGCCCACTGCCTGTCCTGGGACCGGAGAGGAAGAACATGTTCCACTGAGGGTGCCAAGTGGAGCCCACGGCGGGGATTCAGAGAAGCAGCTCTTCAGAAAAGGGCAGAGGCTGGACTTCTGCCATCCTAGCATCCCTGCCTATCTGCCCAGGGAAGGAGGGGGAATGTTTGTCGCAACGGTGAGAGACTTGTATACTGGCCATAAGGTTTTTCTCTCTTCACAGCCCTCAATTTGTCTATAACATTGAAGAAGAGAATGTGTGGGAAAGAAAAAGTAGAAAAAGTAGGGGCTCAGTGGTCTTAATACCTGAGTAGGTTTTAATGAAATTTTTTAAAAGTTTTGATTGAAGTATAGTTAATTTACAATGTTGTGTTAGTTTCTGGTGTACAGCAAAGTGATTCGGTTATATACATGTATTTTCTATTATGATTTATTATAGGATATAGTTCCCCATACTATACAGTAGGATCTGATTATCTATTTTATACACTGTAGCTTGTATCTGCTAATCTTAACTCCTAATTTATCCCCCCCTCCTCCCTTCCCTTTTTGGTGACCATAAGTTTGTTTTCAACGTCTATGAGTTTGTTTTTATTTTGTAAACAAGTTTATACATATCATATTTTAAATTTCACATATAGGTGATACCATACAGTACTTGTCTTTCTCTTTTGACTTACTTCACTTAGTATGATAATCTCTAGGTCCATCCACAGAGAAGGCAATGGCACCCCACTCCAGTACTCTTTTGCCTGGAAAATCCCATGGAATGGAGAAGGAATGGCAACCTACTTCAGTATTCTTGCCTGGAGAATCCCAGGGACAGGGGAGGCTGGTGGGCTGCCCTCTATGAGGTCGCACAGAGTTGGACACGACTGAAGTGACTTAGCAGCAGCAGTATCCCATTGTATATATATACACCACATCTTCTTTATCTATATATCAGTCGATGGACATTTAGGTTCCTTCCATGTGCTGGCTATTATAAATAATGCTGTTATAAAGATTTGGGTGATGTATCTTTTCAAATTAGTTTTCTCTAGATACATGCCCAAGAATGAAATTGCTGGATCATATGACTTCCCTGATAGCTCAGTTGGTAAAGAATCTGCCTGCAATGCAGGAGACCTGGGTTCAGTCCCTGGGATCCCCTGGAGAAGATCCCCTGGAGAAGGGAAAGGCAGTATTCTGGCCTGGAGAATTTCATGGACAATATAGTCCAAGGGGTCTATATGACTGAGAGATTTTCACTTTCACAGCAACTCTATTTTTAGTTTTTTAAGGACTCTCCATACTGTTTTCCATAGTGGGTGCACCAATTTACATCCCCACCAACAGTGTAGGAGGCTTCCCTTTTCTCCACACTCTCTCCAGCAATTATTATTTGTAAAATTTTTAATGATGGCCATGCTGACCTGTGTGAGGTGATACCTTATTATAGTTTTGATTTGCATTTCTCCAATACTAATTTTTAAATGGTTTTTGCTCTATTAATAAGCTTCCTTTGGTAAGCACTGTATTTCCCCATTACTTTATGGTCCCACAGATTCTAAAACAGTAAAGTTTGATAATGCAAGCTCAATAAAATATTTCTAGAGAAAATGAGATCATAATATGGAAGCATACATATGAATTTTCGAGTCAGGCATGACTTAGCAACTGAACAACAATAACATATGAATTATGACACAATTGCAGTGGCTGAACATCATGAAGAATCTTCCATGCCTATGTAGTAATTTTTATCATGAACTTCTTTCCATTAGTCCAGCTTTGTCCTCATTATGGAATTTTCCTCTTCATTTCTACATCTGTGAAACATCCTTAAACTTTAGTAAAGCAGCAAAGCTTTCTACTAAGAAGCACAAGAAAGGCAGGGACAGCTTAAACCTTCACATTCTGTTATAAGATCCTAGATTTGGATCTAGGGTCAAGTTCCTAGGGGCAAGTTCCTTAACCCCATGCCTGCCCCATACAGTGGGGACCATGCCCGAGATCTGTTCATTTAGCCAATCAAGAGTTGAGCCAGATAGAAAAGCTTTATGTTTTCCACTCTGAGCACATGAAACCAAGAACTACCAAAGACTGTTTTGAAAAGACCTTGCTATAAGCAAAAGCAGACATCAAAGCAGAGATCTGAGAAGGTAGGCTTCATCCCTGGCCTCTCTGAGAAGGCAGGCTTTATCCCTGGCCTCTGGCAATTCTATTAAAGTGCAAGGATACGGCCCTTCCCCTGGCAAAGAGTTTTTTGTCCAAGGTAATCTGGTGATGCTACACCACAGTCAAGGCAGAAGGAAGCAGGAAGCCTGTCACAGAGAGGCACTGGCTCTTTGTCTCTCCCTTCTCTTTTCACCACCAAGAACTGCACTGATTTTAGCATCTTCTCTTCCTCTAACTCCTTCGGATTCATTCTGCATGATTCCCAGAGAGGTTATCTTTTTTATCACCCTTCTGATTCATGATGAAGAATCCCAAAGTTATTTTTGAAAGGCTGGGACATAGGCTCATCAAGGTTTTGCATTTATTTTGATAATGTTAAAAGTTCATGAGTTCAATTTTCTTTTTTTTTTTTTTGCCTGTAAGAGACTGGCTGAAAGATTATAAAATCTATTTTGTTTCCCGTATTATTATGCCTGGGCTTCCCTGATGGCTCAGTGGTAAAGAACTGCCTGCCAATGCCGGAGATGCAGGTTTGATCCCTGGGTAGGGAAAATCCCCTGGAGAAGGGACTGGCAACCCACTCTGGTATTCTTGCCTGGGAAATCCCATGGACAGAGGAGCCTGGCTGGCTACAGTTCATGGAATCACAAAAGAGTCAGACAGGACTTAGCGACCGAACAACATATGCTGTTACGCCATGTAAGGACAAATGTCACCACAGGTTCCTATATCTAAAAGGGAATCAGCTATGATTCTTCTGTCTTCAGCTCACTGTGGTCACTATGGATGGACCATCTCTAAGCGGGGGAAGAATCACCACTCAGAACCCCCTCTTACCAGCAGGACTCCCTCCACCTTAATGCAAGCAATCCACGTCCCTGGTACAATTGAAAACGGGTCTGCAAAACCATTTCCAGGTATGGTGACAAAGGCTGGCTCCTTACTCGGCTGGAATATGATCTCTTTGCTTTGAGCAGCACCTATCAGAAATGAAAAGAATTGCTTAGGGCATTTTTTGAGCAGTCAGTGTTCTGATTTTATATATTCAACTTAAAACATTCAGTTTACATCTGAGAAATTTTCAGATGCTTTACTGATCATATGAACTGATCAGATTTACTGATCTTATCTTCAACAACAGCCATGAATTGCATATTCCTATGTATAAAACAGACTAGCAACATATTGTTAAGATATTAGCTGTGGCTATCTATGCTGCGATTGTGTCATTTTAAAATTTATTAAATATATGAAGACATGCAAACTGCTTAGAAAAATTTGTTGCACATAGTAAGTATTCAATATATTACATAGATATTAAACTATTTTTCCTTTTCTTTATATGTAATTGAATTTTCAAAATTTCTATTGATGTGTGCTCAATCGCTCAGTCGTGTCTGACTTTCTGAGATCCCATGGACTGTAGCCCACCAGGCTCCTCTGTCCATGGGATTCTCCAGGCCAGAATAATGGAGTAGGTTGCCATGCCCTCCTCCAGGGGATGTTCCTGACCCAAGAATCAAACCTGTGTCTCTTAAGTCTCCTGCATTGGCAGGCGGGTTCTTTATCACTAGCATCACCTGGGAGGCAGCACAGGTCACTAAAGAATACACAACTCAGCTCCTGACTCAGACGTGGGGGCTTAGGAAAGGTGTCCCAAAGCACAAGAAAAAAAGCCACAGCGGATTCTGACTGTTTCAGTTAATGGAGAACAAACTGCTGATGACGCTGTCACCGGTAAGGCAGTGGGTCCGTAAGAGTTTGGGGTCTGAAGACTGGGACTCGTCCACAGAGATCAGCCGTGTGCTTAGAAAATTTACTATGCCTCTCAGCTGTTTCCTCCTCAGCCTTCTTCAGTTCTCAAAATTCTCACCATGTGAGGAAATGGATGCTGAAGTATTGTTGAAATAATAAAGCAAGCTTGCCAATTCTTCCTATTAGTTACTCTGAATCAACCTCTGGGCTTCCCAGGTGGCTCAGGGGTAAACAACTGCCTGCCAATGGAGGAAACACGGGTTCCATCCCTGGGTCGAGAAGATCCCCTGGAGAAGGAAATGGCAGCCCACGCCAGTATTCTTGCCTGGAGAATTTCATGGACAGAGGAGCCTGATGGGCTAGAGTCCATGGGGTCGAAAAGAGTCGGACATGACTTAGCAACTAAACAACAGCAACAAATCAACCCCCAGCCTTACAAGCTTGACTGACACAACTTGGGAACACCATTTCTTACCCCAAGTCCCAATCTGTTGTGGATACTCAATGAAGTCGCTTAAATTTCCATCCTAAATTAGATTTCCGCTGGTACCGTTTTGTGTCCCTGTGGAATTCATACTAGTATATTCCTGGAATCTGTTTCCAGGACCAAGAGAAGCCCTCATCCCCTGTAGAACAGATGTTCAGGCCTCATCTCTGACTGTAGTGAGACTTGTCCTCTGACTGGGCCTCTCCTCTGTCCTCAGGAACCTCTCACCCCTAAATGAGATTAGCATGCTCCTCTCCGCAGCCCTCTTGGGCTTCATGCTTTGCCACATTCATCCTTTATAAAGCATTTTATTTATTTATTTATACGTTGGCCATGCCACACCGCATGTGGGATCTTAGTTCCCTGACCAGGGATTGAACCCCCGTCCCCTGCAGTGGAAGTGCAGAGTTTTAACCACTGGACCGCCAGGGAAGTCCCTACAACATTCGTCTTAAAAATTCCTATCCTCACCCGTTTCTCCTTGAATTACTTGGTTTGCCTGAAACAGTGGGAGAATTTAGGGCAGGAGGCCAAGGCCTCTCAAGTAACTCCACAAAGGCGACACCCAATTTACCTGAACGAGCTATAAATTAGCTGTGGTGATGTGATAACCCATGGCATTCAGCGAGGGTACACAGGCTGTTTTACTGGTTTTTTAAATGACAGTAACAAATTTAACAGCACAACTTAAACATGCAGAACATTCAGAGACAGAAAAGGTACAAAGGACAGAGCATAAGGGTACCAATCATAAGAGTCTTCATGTTTTCTGAAGAGATCAACTTTGTGAAAATTGGAGAAAATGTTTCACTAATAAATCACTTCATCCAAAAGCAGCTTGAAAATTTACTCACCTGCCTTAGCCCAGGATGGATAAATAGTTATACGACCAGATACTGCTTCAGTCCCAGGGTTCATATATCTTAGAACAACATGAAACAAGGAGAGACTTGACTTCCCCACATTTAACATGATTCTTACTTCATTCTGAAAAATACCAAAAACCCATAAAGTATAGAAGAGACAACTGGTTAAAAGAAATGTTAGCCAAACAGTGACTTTATTCAGAAGTTTCACTACTGGGCTTCACTACACACACCCACCCACCCACACACACACACACATGCACACACACATACCCACCCACCCACACACACACACACACACACACTCAAACACATACACATACATTCAAATAACACCACATGCACACCCACTCAACAAGCACCAAGTGACTCTGTGAAAGATGAAAACAGGCAAGTCAGCCAATCAATTAAAATCACTTACAATTAAAGTCACAGTGAAAACACACTCCCCTCAGCAACCAAGCTCCTCTTTTGCCCTTTCAGCAATCAGGCATACAGAGCAGAAGGTTAGATGAACTAGTTTAGGAAAAGCCACAGTGACAGGGGCAACCACCACTGGCTGGGAGAAATAAAGAGAAGGAAGAGAGAGTGTATTAGAGAACACCACCAGCCGCGTCAGGAGAGACAACTCCAGAGTCTACTTCCCATACATAACACTTGAAACAGTCACAGAAAGCAGCGGAAGCTAAGGAGAGTTTGTGAAAAAGTGAGTGTTGGTCGCTCAGTCGTGTCTGACTGTTTGTGAGCCCATGGCCTGTAGCCCACCAGGCTCCTCTGTCCATGGGATGTTCCAGGCATGAATACTGAACTGAGTAGCCACACCCTTCTCCAGGGTATCTTCCAGACCCAGGGATCAAACCCAGATCCCCTGAATTGCAGACAGATTCTGGACCACCTGAGCCAGCAAGGAAGCCCAAGGAGAGGTTGTAAGACCCCAAATACATCAGTGATGAAATCTGGAGGTAACTAAAATACACCTGCTAAATAATATGGAATTTAACTCAATCCCTATCGGAGAAAAACATGGGCTCTCTGCTGGGGACAGGGAGTTCTGCTGGTCCCAGGCCCCTGGTCCTCATACAATGCTATGTAAGTGTTGCTGTGCCCATGACCTTGAAGGAGAGTGTAGACTACTTCAATTCCGAACCACAGATCACATGTCCAGATCTAGCTGCATCCCAAGGAAAGTTCATGAAACACGGAAATTTCTAAATCAGTAGTTCTTTAGGCCTTTCCTCCAGCGCCTTTGGTTGAAATGAAGGGGATTTTTGTTGAATGGGACATCGATGACAGTAAAGACTGGTGTCAAGTAGAATCCCCTGCTCTGGGAGAAGGGGTGGCAGCCAACCCACCCTGAGGATCTCCATGGCCCTCCCAGTTTGATGGAATTCATCTTTAAGGGTTGATTCCAGGGCTTCCCTGGTGGCTCAGATGGTAAAGAATCTGCCTGCAGTGCAGGAGACCCAGGTTTGGTCCCTGGGTCAGGAAGGTCACCTGGAGAAGGGAATGGCAACACACTCCAGTATTCTTGCCTGGAGAATCCCATGGAAAGAGGAGCCTGGTGAGCTACAGTCTGTGAGGTCCCAAAGTGTCAGACACGAGTGAGGGATTAACACTTTCATTTTCACATCAAGGGTTAAGTCCACACTGGAAAATAATAATGGAAGAATGTATTAAGGGCAGAGTAAAGTAAGTGGTGATTCCAGGTAACACCACCCAAGTTCTCTGACTAAGAATACTAACAGAAAAAATCCATCATTAGAAATTCATTCCTCTGTGTTAACCAGCTATTCTTTCAAACTGCAAATACCTGGGAGGAGGTATATACCTTAACTGGGCTCTTAGTCACTCCACTCACATCCTATTATGATTCAGTGGAATTCACTGCCTTTTTCTGAACAATGGAGTAAGAGTAGGGAACCAAAGAACTGCTATATTTGGGGAAAACAGAAAACAGTGACGTGTCTAAGATTGCTAGGTACTGTTAAAGAAAGGCAACCTAGATAGGGGACCTTGCCAGGCGAGTAGCAACATTAGAATCAATGACGGCCCCTAGGGAATTGTGAGCCCATCCCTGTTTCTCTAAGAGCTGTCTGATTTTTTAAATTATTTTATCTATCTATCTATCTTCTACCTGTCTAGTTGTTCCAGATCTTAGTTGCGGCACACAGGAACTTCAGCTGTGGCTTACAAACTCCTGGTTGCAACACATACTGACTTAACAATTATCATCAACTTGCCTCTTTATTCTCAGCTTCTCCAGTAAGCAACAGCTTGAAGAGAACAACCTCAAATAGAAATTCTGACAACAAGACTACTCAATGACTATACAGAAATGTTGTTACAATGTAGTATAAATTCCAAAGGCAAACAGGCAATGTGTAAATTCCTTAATTATTCCACTGCAAAGCCAAAAGAAATGGATACAGTAGAGAGGACTGCAGGAAAGGAGAAATATGGAAAGAAAAACGGAATAGCACTGACCACAACTCCTCCTTTATCTTAGTTTATGTTCATATAGTAATTCAGAGTTTAAAAAAAATTTTTAAGTATCGGTCAAAAATCAGCAATACAGGTTTCATTAGCATTATTTGTCAACTCATTTTTATTCTCCACAAATGGCTTTAAAGAAAAAGGTCTCTCGTGAGAGGCCTAATCTCATTTGGGAAACTTCTTTTTAATTAAAAAAATTTTTTTATGCCACACCTCAAAGCATGCAGGATCTTAGTTCCCTGACCAGGGGTCGAACCCAAGCCCCCTGCAGTGGAAGTGCAGTGTCTTAACCACTGGACAGTCAGGGAAGTCCCTGGGAAACTTCTTATAAAAAGAATGGAGCTGACAGTCAACATATTAGACACACAATAGGACATAATTTTTGTTTCAGTTCAGTTCAGTCGCTCAGTCGTGTCTGACTCTTTTCGACCTCATGAACCGCAGCACGCCAGGCCTCCCTGTCCATCACCAACTCCCAGAGTCTACCCAAACTCATGTCCATTGAGTCGGTGATGCCATCCAACCATCTCATCCTCTGTCGTCCCCTTCTCCTCCTGCCTTCAATCAATGAGTCAGCTCTTCCCATCAGGTGGCCAAAGTATTGGAGTTTCAGCTTTAACATCAGTCCTTCAAATGAACACCCAGGACTGATCTCCTTTAGGATGGACTGGTTGGATCTCCTTGCAGTCCAAGGGACTCTCAAGAGTCTTCTCCAACACCACAGTTCAAAAGCATCAATTCTTCTGTACTCAGCTTTCTTTATAGTCCAACTCTCACATCCATACATGGCTACTGGAAAAACCATAGCCTTGACTAGGTGGACCTTTGTTGACAAAGTAATGTCTCTACTTTTTAACTTGCTGTCTAGGTTGGTCATAACTTTCCTTCCAAGGAGTAAGCGTCTTTTAATTTCATGGCTACAATCACCATCTGCAGTGATTTTGGAGCCCCAAAAAATAAAGTCAGCCACTGTTTCCACTGTTTCCTCATCTATTTGCCATGAGTAATTTATGTTTAGTATCACCTAAATTTATATAGTCAGAATAAAGAGGGGCAGGTTTGTGAAAATTTCTTTGCTTTAAAGGATTATCTCCTCATACATTGCTTATTTTGTACATTGCTTATTTTTATTTGACGATTTTGTGTTTTTTTAAGTGCTGGAGAAAACCTTTCTCACTTGTGGCTTTTCGCTTACCTTTGTATGTGCTGTAAACTTTTTAGACAATAGTCTGTGTTACTTTTAAGAATTATTTTTATTATGTTGAAATTTATTTTTTTTTAAAGTCTCCAGGGATAAACACCATCTTTAATTGCTTCATTTTCTGATTTGGTGACCAAATTAAAGTAACAGTAAGCTGTGAAATTGATATATACGCTTAATATAAAATCCAACCTTAGCCCGAGCCCCATCCATACTCCAAAGAACAAGAATCCTGGAGTCAGTTTTGGGGAGAGCGCACCTTCTGGGGGACCCGCTGAGAGGGCTGTGGGTGAACGTCTGGACGGCTCTGCCCTGAGGCGGGTCCCCTTGGCTGCTTACCTGCACCGGAGTCATCTGAGCATACCCCCTCCAGCTAAACTCTGAAAACTCCAGGGGATCAAATCCAAACCGCAGTGCTCTTCCACTGGGTGTAGTGCCGTCTTCAATCTCGTACCTCATGTGATGCAAATCCGGGAAATAGTAGTTGTTTTCAGGCCTTTTATAAATAAAAAGTAAACGAGCATACAGTGAACTGAGGTTCATTGATAACCCAAATATCCTTTAATCCCAGTAGGTGGCACTAAAAGAACTCCCCATAATTAACAGAACACATTCAATATGGACAAGGGGGAGAGGCCCCCTGCTTTTCCTCTAAATCATTGCTTTAACTCACGTAAACATTCACAAAAAATACATCCAGCTCCTACTGATGCCAGTTAGAGAAAATAACTAAGAACAACCCAGTGACAGCATCCTCTGAAATGTTCTAAATGGTTACCAACCATTTAGCAAAGTCAAACTGGGTTATTTGCTATAAATCCATTCATTTATATACTCATATTCACTGATTACATAAATATTAATGACTTTGCCAAGCACTGTTGCTAAGCAGCATAGATATAATGGTGAACACGGCCGTGAAATTTACCGTGAATACATATTACTTTATGACAAATACTTTCCTAAGCTAAGTTTATAAGTTAAATATGTTTTCTCTACATACACATATATGTTTTGACCATTAGAATGACTTTTCTATGCCTTGTCTTCTCTTATTGTACACCTGTAAATGGACTCAGGAGTCCAATATTGGTAACCACAGAGACGGATCAAAATTAGTCTAATGCAGGACTTCCCTGGTAGTCCAGTGGTTAAGACGCCACACTTCGATTGCAGGGGGTACAGGTGCCACCCCTGATTGAGGAACGAAGACCCCACATGCCATGTGACAAAAGTTAAAAAACAAAACCAAAATATTCTAAACCTTCTGTGACATTCTATATTCAAACAACTTTCAGTCCTTCAGAATGGTAGGATTTTGACAATCCAGTCCCAAGCTAATATGTGTTGATGGATTTAAAGCCATAAAGATCAATTAGTCAAGGAAAAGAAAAGGCCTGCTCCTATACTGCAAGTAGAATCAGGAGTGCTTACAATTTTTCTGGAGCTAATTTATGAAGAGTCCTAAAAATGTTCATTCTCATTGACCTAGTAATTCTACTTTGGGGAATATTTTCTAAAGAATGATTTTATAGGGTCAAAAATTAACATAAAAGAATGTCTATAATGTGAAAAACTTGGAAACAATACAAATGTACAATTATGAAACAATTAAATTTTAAAATATTATGCAACAATATTTAACACTACTTAATTAATTAATGGATAATGTTCATGATATCATGTGAAGATATTGATATAAATTACATAAACAAATTCAATACTAATTTTTATTATAGACAAAGCCCAGAAAATATACAAAAAAATATTAAAAGGGGTTTATCTCTGGGTGGTAGAATGAAGACTTCCTTTTCCCTTTTTACTTTCACGTACTCCTTAAAATTTTACAATGAATACATATTACATTATCACAAAAACTTTAGAAAACAAAGTAAATGTGAATGCTTTCTAAAGTTTTGTAGGGAAAACTAAAAATGCAAATTATAAACAAACATTTGGAGGAACTGAGGGCAAAAAGATGCAAGATTTATCAACCTGGAAGAAAGGTGGTGTGGCATCTACATTTCTGGTTTGCTAACCTTTTATTTCAGTATTATTCACTACTAAATTAAAGGACAATTTAAATCCCATGTGTATATATGTGGAGCTTCCCAGGTGGCGATAGTGGTAAAGGACACGCCTGCCAATGTGGGAGACATAAGAGAGGTGGGTTCCATCTGTCCATCAAGAAGATTCCCTGGAGGAGGACATGGCAACCCACTCCAGTATTCTTGCCTGGAGAATTCCATGGACAGAGGAGACTGGTGGGTTAGAGACCATGGGGTTGGAAAGAGTCAGACACAACTGAAGCGACTTAACACAACACAACCCATGTATATATGTATTGACTGTAATGTCAGTATTTTGACCTCAGGATAATTTGGGTAATTTATTCTGATGCATTACTTCAACTTCCAAATTAGCCAATCACCTACACAGCGGGAAGGAGAAAAAAAAACTCATGCTGGTTAAACAGGGGGAAAGCTCGCTTTATCAACAGGAGGGAGGAAAGAGGCAAAGCACGGGTGGAAAATGTTTCTGAGCCAATTCACAAAGTTCCTCTGTTTCACCGTGAGCCTCGTTGGTCTACAGGAAGACAAAACTACAGATGTGCCTGTCTCCACACTCATTTTATTATGAACCCCTGTGACCATCATTTATTTAGAAAGGATAGGAGAAAGCACAGCTGAGCAGCTCTGAGCCTGAGACCTCAAATGCTGGGAACATCAAGGTAAAGGAGAGATGTTCCATTTTGTCAATAAATAAGGTGGTTCACTTGACTACATTAAAGATCTCTTTATTAACCTGGTGACAAGGTAGAAACAGTGAAGATGAGATTTAGAAGACACTGCATGTCACAAGACTTTCAGCAACTCATTCAAAGTCGGCATATTAAAAATTAGATTTTTCCTCCCTCCATGGAGGGACACTTATGGATGGATCACGGTTTCAGATAAATATAGAAACTGCTAAACAATCGGGACAGAGGCTGAGTGTGCCATAACCGCTGCAGTCCCCCTGGGACCTCAGTTTCCACTTGGCTCCCTTGCTCCTTCTGTTCATTGTGATTTGCTTCTGCATGAGACAGGGGACTTCCTCTCATTCCTAAAACTGTCTTACCACCCCCAGATGAATACATATTACATTATCACAAAAACTTTAGAAAACAAAGTAAATGTGAATGCTTTCTAAAGTTTTGTAGGGAAAACTAAAAATGCAAATTATAAACAAACATTTGGAGGAACTGAGGGCAAAAAGATGCAAGATTTATCAACCTGGAAGAAAGGTGGTGTGGCATCTACATTTCTGGTTTGCTAACCTTTTATTTCAGTATTATTCACTACTAAATCAAAGGACAATTTAAATCCCATGTGTATATATGTGGAGCTTCCCAGGTGGCGATAGTGGTAAAGGACACGCCTGCCAATGTGGGAGACATAAGAGAGGTGGGTTCCATCTGTCCATCAAGAAGATTCCCTGGAGGAGGACATGGCAACCCACTCCAGTATTCTTGCCTGGAGAATTCCATGGACAGAGGAGACTGGTGGGTTAGAGACCATGGGGTTGGAAAGAGTCAGACACAACTGAAGCGACTTAACACAACACAACCCATGTATATATGTATTGACTGTAATGTCAGTATTTTGACCTCAGGATAATTTGGGTAATTTATTCTGATGCATTACTTCAACTTCCAAATTAGCCAATCACCTACACAGCGGGAAGGAGAAAAAAAAACTCATGCTGGTTAAACAGGGGGAAAGCTCGCTTTATCAACAGGAGGGAGGAAAGAGGCAAAGCACGGGTGGAAAATGTTTCTGAGCCAATTCACAAAGTTCCTCTGTTTCACCGTGAGCCTCGTTGGTCTACAGGAAGACAAAACTACAGATGTGCCTGTCTCCACACTCATTTTATTATGAACCCCTGTGACCATCATTTATTTAGAAAGGATAGGAGAAAGCACAGCTGAGCAGCTCTGAGCCTGAGACCTCAAATGCTGGGAACATCAAGGTAAAGGAGAGATGTTCCATTTTGTCAATAAATAAGGTGGTTCACTTGACTACATTAAAGATCTCTTTATTAACCTGGTGACAAGGTAGAAACAGTGAAGATGAGATTTAGAAGACACTGCATGTCACAAGACTTTCAGCAACTCATTCAAAGTCGGCATATTAAAAATTAGATTTTTCCTCCCTCCATGGAGGGACACTTATGGATGGATCACGGTTTCAGATAAATATAGAAACTGCTAAACAATCGGGACAGAGGCTGAGTGTGCCATAACCGCTGCAGTCCCCCTGGGACCTCAGTTTCCACTTGGCTCCCTTGCTCCTTCTGTTCATTGTGATTTGCTTCTGCATGAGACAGGGGACTTCCTCTCATTCCTAAAACTGTCTTACCACCCCCAGCACCCAAGCCCCACAGTCATGGGTCCTGAAAAAGAAGCAGAAGATGCAACTGCCAGGCTCCTCCAGGCTGGGAGCTCACATGGATGTTCAGCCATGAGAACCCACCTCCTGCCTCCAGCCCAAGACTTGCCCAGCTGGCTTTCTGCCCCTCTGGGAACTGTCCAGTGAGGATACTCTGCGATCTGCAAAGTGGAATCATTTTAGGGCAACTTTGTACCTCCTGCTTTTTTTTTAGAAAAAAGATTGCTTTTTGATGTAGACCTTTCTTAAAGTCTTTACTCGATTTGCTACAACATTGCTTCTGTTTTACGCTTTGGTTTTTTTGGCTGTGAGGCATGTGGGACCTTAGGTCCCTGACCAGGGATCGAGCCCAGACCCCCTGCTTTGGAAGGCGAAGTCGTAACCACTGGACCACCAGGGAAGTCTCTACCTCCTGCTTTAATTGGACTCACAGATGAGTGCCTAGACTGCAAAGGACAGCACAGCTTCACTTCCTGCTCTCTCACCGTGGGACCCCTCCACTCTCCCCAGGACCGTCGGCACAGACGGGACTCTGAGGAAACCTTCACAACATCAGAACACAAAGGCATCCCCTGAGGACTCACCGCTGGCAGGCCTTCCCCACGACGTGCTCTCGGCACTGGCAGACTCCGGAGGGCCCGCTGCATACAGGGGAGACGGCTCCACCGATGTCACACCGACACCCTGAGAGTCGGGAAACGGCCGGGGTCACCCATCACAGCGTCTCCAGGCTGGAGGCCTTCCCTCCCTCTATGAGGAGTGGAAACCAGGAAGCCCAAGTTGCCTTCTTTCCCAGGACGCATCTTACATGCAGGAGGTATTTGAAATTTGTAGGAAAATCCCAGAGAAAGATGGCACGGTGCCACCACTCTCCCCCGGCCCAAGAGTCCACCTGAAACTCGGAGATGCACTGGTAGGCCACTTCCAACTCTGCTGTACCACGTAAGGTGACAGCAGCCTGGGAGCGAAACATGATTCACAACACAGTATGTTGTAAACAGTAGGTGCTAAGCAGAAGCTGCTTGAAAGATATCAGAGTGGCCTTGTGGGGCGACCACTCCTGCAGTTGTATTATTTAACGTGGTATTATCTTGTGTGAACTTTTTTAATATTTCAAATTTATCTTTAAAATGACTAAGTCGTTATCTGCATTTAAATTTATCTCTAAAATGACTAAGTCTTGATGTTACTTACATCTCCCCCAGGGCTCCCCTGCACCCCAATTATGATTTTTTATAATTGACCCAACAGTATGCTGGTAGAAGACAAGGGGAAGCGGCTCTGGCTGAAATTTACTACTCGTCTTAAGGGGAATTTTGGCCAATTTCCCTAGACAGAACTTTTCAGTCCCATTCTATCAGAAAGTCAGCAAGAAAACAGTGAACTTGGAAGCAAGGTTACTCTGACAGTCTTTGCCTATCAACATTTTTGCCTTACACAGGAACCCCTGGGAGAAATTACCTTGACACCCAAAGTAATTGCTCTTTTCCAAAGCAAAATATCCATCTTCGCATGTGTCACAGGAATCGCCACCAACATGGGATTTACAATGACAGTCACCATCTAACTGCAGAACAATGAGCAGATGACAAAATTTGGTGAGATTACAGAATTTGCTGGGCTTCCCTGGTGGCTCAGATGATAAAGAATCCGCCTGCAATGCAGGAGACCCAGGTTCAATTCCTGGGTCAAGAAGATCCCGTGGAGAAGGGAATGGCAACCCACTCCAGTATTCTTGCCTGGAAAATCCCATGAACAAAGGAGCCTGGCGGGCTACAATCCATGGGGTAGCAAAGAGCTGGACACAACTGAGCCACTTTCACTACTTTTTCACAGAATTTGCTAATCTTCAAGATTTCAAACTGGCTTGTTTTGTCCTATGAAGCAGGGTAGCCGGGATTTGAAAACTCCCATGAAGATGGCCACATGCTATACAATTACAGAGGTACTAACCCCCTCTTGCATAAATCCCACAATTAACTGTTACTATATTCTACCAGCATCCCAGGAAAAACTGGTCCACGTTACCTGCCCACACTCTGCAATTCCGCTCATGGTTCCCGCCACGTGGCATCGGCATTCTGGGAAGAGAAGAGAGCATCCTTGGCCACGGTTACAGAAAGGCCAGTTCCACCTCTAGGTACAGGACACGCTAGTAATAATATAGGTGCCATCACTTTCCAGCATGCTCCAACAGAATTCCAGTTTGCATCCATCAGGCCTAAAACTGGATTGCTTCCTGGGCTCAGCAGAACCCAACAACTGGATCAATATCATCTACCTACAAGAAGTACTGGTTCATTTATGACCACTCATAAATGACAAAAGCTGCACTGTCATGGGATTTCTAATTGATTCTAAGGTCGAGGTTATTACTGATATGCTTACATGAAAATATACCCTATTGAAAAATATTCACTCCACTGAGCTATCTTTAGCTTGGTGTTTTTCAGTTCTATCCTGGCTTCCAACTAAACATAAAATGAAAATAAAGTGAAACCGGAAAGTGTGGATTATAAAAACAAGGCGGAAAAACCATTTATCAAGCAGCTGCCATGACAAACAACATGATACATATGGAAACAGGATATAAATCCCTTGCTGAGATTTCAAAAATGATAGAAGTTCTGCCAAAAGTCAGGGGGAGGGGGTGAGACATCAAAACATTTATACAGAATTTCAAACAAACTGAATGGATTAAATCAGTAGCTCTTTTGTGAGTTGAGTCACTGAGGTAGAGAAAATTAAGAGGAAGTTACAATATATTAAAAAACACTGAACACAGGAAACCTTACCTGAACATCCATCAGGGTTTTCTTTGGCCAGATTCCAATATAATGGTTTGCAGATGCTACACGAAGGACTTTCAACATGAAGCTTGCATTGGCAATGGCCCTTTAAAAGAAAAGTCATCACCTGACATCTTAGAATGAAGAGGTTCCCAAACAAGCATTCTGAGAAAAGCTGGTCACAGAAATATATTTTGGTCATGAAAAGTAAATGAAGTATATTCGGGCAGAGTGAAAGTACTGGGTTGATTTTAACAATCTGCTAATTGCTTTTGTTTTACTATTTACTTATTTGTTATACACAGAATCCATATATGTGCTTAAAATTGGAAAGTTCAGAATAAGAAAAAATTTTAATGATTCTTATTTACAACACTGTCGTTATCTGTGGATTCTCTTACACTGTGGATATAAATCTAAACGGAAACTATCTGAACATTTAACTTGCTGAGATTCAGTAGAAATTAGATTTATCTGCAAGCATGTTTATAATATGCAAGAGTCACCTCCTTGCTTAAACATCATCAAGTCCCACAGTGAGGACAGAGACTTTCTCCCACTTTCCCTCCAGAACCTGGGGTTCCAGCTTTTGCATGCTTTGAGGCTAAGAAGATAATTTCTAAAGTGCTTAGAAAATGAATCAGAATGCCACAGCACTGTGCTTGGAGTAACATCAAGTAGACTACAATTACTCTGTACACAGACAGCTTAATTAGATGTTTACTGGCCTTTGATTTTCTTAATTTTAATTATGTATGTCAGGCTTATGTGCAAGTCTCTAGGGAGGCAATGCCTTCAGAGGAACGCTAGGACTCCACAATTCTACAAAAAGTTTAAATAAACCATATTCTTTTGTTTCTGACCAAAAGAAATTACAATATCATATACGCACTTTGAAAAAGAGTAATAGCCTCTTCAAGCAATTCAGCCTCAGGTCTTAATTTAATTTACTTTTTAATTTCAGGAAGCTCACAAATGTGTCAGTCTCAAATAAATATCAGAATAATAGTTAGAACTTCAACCCTTTAACAATCTTCTACTTACCAAACTGGAGTCCAGAGTTCCGGCTGGGTCACAGACATTGCTTGAGCCTGGATATGATGTATAAATAGTTATATGGTATAGAAATGTCTGGGGTTTTAATGTTCATTTGTCCCTTTGTTTTGATGTTTCAAGGTTTGTTTTCTTTAAGTTTTCCTTGTTTTTAAAACCAGTGCATCTATATTTATATTTTTTAATAGATGGGTAGCTAGGACTTTGCATGTATTCAGTTGGCCAAAAAGTTCATTTGTATTTTTCTGTAATATCTTATGGTAAAACCCAAAAGAACTTCTGGGCCAACTCAATAATTCAGAAAATGACACCTCTAATAGCCTTCATGGTCCTCACTCCCGAAATCACCCTTTTGGTCACTCAACGACTCTCTGCCCTGCCTCCTCCTAAAAGTTCATTTCTAAATGATGAAAAGGAGACTGGGGAAATGAGTCTAGACTTTTGAACATCCTTAGAACTATCCAGAAGAGGGCAGTATTATACAAAGAGTTTTGTTTTTTTTTTTTTTAATTGTCCAATTCAATGCTGGGCTTCCCTGGTGGCTCAGAAGGTGAAGAATCTGCCTGTAATGTAGGAGACTGGAGTTTGAGGGAAGATCCCCTGGAGAAGGGCATGGAAACCCACTCCAGCATTCTTATCTAGAGAATTCCATGGACAGAGGAGCCTGGTAGGAGTCATGGACACGACTGAGTGACTAACACACTAACAATTAGCTGTTATAGAATTTGTAAGTACATTTTTTAGCTAACCAAGACTTATTTCTTTCATTATCACAGAGCCCCCTTGCTCTCCACCCATAGGAAAATTGCGTCTAAAGTTAATTAATCTGCCTTAGTCAATCTCACGTTACAAGAGGAAGAATCAGGCAGATTAGGGTCAAAAGTGAAGCGGTGACCAGCAGTGGGCCTGGCAGGCTTTGCAGGCTCCTCTGGGGGGCTGGCCACACACACAAGGTGGAGAGGAGCCCACCGCCCAGCCATCTGCGGTCCTCCCTACCTTTGCAGTGGGGGAAATCAGAGGCGCCCGAGAGACACCTGTCGCACCGCTGCCCCGTGATCCCCGGCCGGCACGCGCACTGTCCAGTCACCGGATTGCAGGGTGTCTGGTAGGACCCAAGGGCCGAACACTGGCAGGCTGGATGAAAAGACCTCAGTCAGAGCCACGGCAGGGGCGCCCGGGACCCGCATAAGAGCACGGAGCTGGGGCCCAAAAGACCCAAAGACAGTTCCAGCTTCACCTCTAATCAGACTTGGAACCTGAAACAGATCGCGCTGTTGCTCTAAAACGCAGTTTCCCCTTTTTAAGTGGGAATAATATTAGCATCTACTTGATAAGAGCCCAGTGGGGTAGAACTCCACGAGAGGGGCTAGAGAATTAGTGATATGGTCTGAAGAAACTAAACATTAGAGAAAAGAAGAAATAGGCCTAGTGCTGCTCAGCCAGCTCACGTCAGACAGCAAGACAAGGACTCAGCTCTTCGGCTATCCGGGCCAGCATCCTCCGAGGCCCCAGATTCCCTCCAGGCCTGTCTGCAGAGATCAGGCCCCTACCCAGGGGCAGACGACTAAGAAAATGCTCTTGGGCTCTGGGATGGTTTATGCTTGCACATTGCCTAGGCTGTAGGGCTCAGATGTTGGCTCAACACCAGTCTAGATACGACTGAAAAGGTGCTTTGTTAGATGCGATGAACATTTAAGTCTGCTGACCTCGAGGTCAGCAGTAAAGCAGGTTACTCTGCACAGTCTGGATGGGCCTTGTCCCATCAGTTGAAGGCCATACGAGAAAAGATTGAGGTTAGGGAGGAAGAAGTAATTCCACCTCCAGACAGCCTGTGGACTCCAGCTGCAGCATCAACTCCCCCCTCCCTCCCTGGGTTTCCAGCCTACTGGTCTGCCCTGCAGATTTTAGATGCACCAGCCCCACAAACACAAGCCCTGATTCCTTAAAATAAATCTATCTATCTATATCTACATCTATCTATATCCATAGATATAATAAGTCCCTTATATACAAACCCTCATGTTGCAAGCTTTCAAAGATGCAAACGTGTGTTCCTCCAACGACAGGCACAAGCGAAACTGCAGCCTGCCCTCCGTCTCCTGTTGCTGACGAGCCTTCCACTCTACCACCTCCCACCTCCTCTCCCTTCTCCAGTTAGTAACTCTTCTTGCCTGGTCAGGTGATGCCAGCCCCTGTGTGCCAGCCCTTGCACTGTACTACTGTACTTTTCAAGGTATAGTACTATAAGGTTAAAAGTGCTTTCTTTATTTTTTGTGTTTGTTTTTTATGCATTCTTAGCATGAAAAGTATTATAAACCTATTACAGCATGGTACAGGGGCTTCCCTGGTGCCTCAGATGGTTAAGAATCCACCTGCAATGTGGGAGACCTGGGTTCAATCCCTGGGTTGGGAAGATCCCCTGAGGAGGGCATGGCAACCCACTCCAGTATTCTTGCCTGGATAATCCCCATGGACAGAGGAGCCTGGTGGGCTACAGTCCCTGGGGGCATGAAGAGCCGGACACACCTGAGCATCGATGCACACAGAGTTCAGTACTATATAACCGATGTGTCAGTGGGTACCTAGGCTTACTTTGTAGGACAAATGAACGTGCTCTGGGGCCGGAACCCATTCATAGGCGGGGGAATTACTGTACAGACACACATCCTATGGGTTCTGTCCCTTTGGAGAGAACCTTTGTCCCTTTGTCCTTTTGGAGAGGGACCCTGACACAGGTCCTCTCTGCTCTTCTTCCTTTAAGGAAGGGAATGCAGAGAGCAAACACTCATGCTGGCAGTTGGAGCAGCAACAGGAGCCTGGAGCAACAGAGGAGGCAGCTCCAGCCAGCATCACATGGGTGAAATTAAAAACACTGACTCCTCCCAGGACCAGAGGGGTTGTCTAGGGAGCCTCAGAAGATGCAGACACACTCCAGAGGTGAAAACAAAGACACGGCCTTAAACACAGGTACATTATTTTAAATCGTGAATGACTCAATCTGGCATCACACTTTGGGTTTCTATCCAGCTTATCGATGAAAGCTGCCAGCTCCCAAACCCAAACCCCAACACTGGCAGCCTGTTTCTCACTCTTGGAAATACCACTAGGCTTTGCAAATATTTTAAATCTGCTCTTTGCTTTGATCCAGGTCCTTCTGAGTTTTTGGAATCTTTTCTTCTCATCTGCTCTTCACTGTGCTTCTGCTTTGAGATACTTTGATTTTCAAAGAGTATTAAAAAATGATATTTAATAATACAAAGAATCAGGGAGCCTGTCTGCTGTGCTCCCCTCAAATCTTCCAGCCTCAAGCACAGTCCTGGTCTTTTTTCTGGTTGTTGTTCACTCACTCAGTCATGTCTGACTCTTTGCAACCCCATGGACTGCAGCATGCCAGGCTTCCCTGTCCCTCACTGTCTCCTGGAGTTTGCTCAAACTCACATCCATCGAGTTGATGATGCTATCAAACCATTTCATCCTCTGTCGCTCACTCTCCTCTTTCACCCTCATCAAGAGGCTCCTTAGTTCCTCTTTGCTTTCTCCCATTAGAGTGATATCATCTGCATATCTGAGGTTGTTGATATTCCTCCCAACAATCTTGATTCCACCTTGGGATTCATTCAGCCCGGCATTTCACCTGATGTACTCTGCATATAAGTTAAATAAGCAGCATGACCACATACAAACTCAACATACTCGTCCCAATTTTGGACCAGTCCATTGTTGCATGTCCGGTTCTAACTATTGTTTCTTGACCTGCATACAGTGTCCTGGTCTCTATGACATGCCAAACAGATATTTATTAAATGAAGGAACAAGCAACTATTGAAATCCTTTTCTGGGTCCAACCCTGTAGTTTTCAACTGATGTTTATTTTCTCCTTGAATCTTGCAACACTGCTGTGTGAGGCACTTTGGGGAACGCCACCCTCTTCCGTGTCAGTGAATAAACTCACAGAGTGAGGCGACACTGCCAGGCAACACGTAAATTTCGAGAAAAAGAGAGCCCCTTATTATCTAGGGGTGCTCTAGATGCCCAGGATTTTGGAGCTCTTCCGTCTGTTGGAAGAGCAGGCTGGCGCCTTCTCCATCAAAGCCACAAAGCCAGCATTTCAGTTCCATCGTAGTGAACACCCTCCACCTCTCTGGCTAACTGATCAGACCTACAGAAAATCCCAAGGCTTCTTCCAACTGCCTCAATGTTCTAGACAAACACTGAACTGCAAAGCGAAGGGCCAGTTCAAAGCAAAATTGCACAGGACTTGGCCCATCCTTCTGGATTTGGTTTTCCCCCTGGGAAAGGCTGGAAGGGTTCTCCCGGGAGCATCCCAGGTCAGAAACCTGCCCTGAACTGCCACCCACCTTCCACTGATGCATCTGGCCTCTTTCCAGGGCCAGTCTGTCTGATTTGTGAGAATACGCTGACGTGTAGGAAAAGGTTAGCCATGCACTGGTAACATACATATAGGACTTTTCTAAGGAACTACCTGTAACCACAATCCAAAGACTACGGCAAACTCCCATGGGGACAGTTCAGGTCCCGGGACACTGAGGTTTGGGGGCAGCTTCACTGTGACAGGCTTCAGTGCCAGCCATGGGAGGCCCCCATTCTCTACACTCCCACCCTCCTGGTCTCTGCTCTAAGTGCTGGCTAGCGGCTACTTAGCAAAATGCACAAGGGAAAAAGCAGGAAGAGGAAGGAAGAGGAAAAGAAAAATCAAGAAGGAGAAGGAAGGATGGACTGAGAGGTTGAAAGGGAACAATACCTCCTCCCCGCCTCCCCCGCCCCCGCCAAAGGACCAAGTTCACAGAGAGCCTCGGTATGTTTTCTGCTTACAGGTAAAGTGCCAAGCCAGACGTCAACACAAACATAAAACTGAAATACACAGAGACGATTCTCGTCATGGCCTCACATCTATAATTTGACTTTCAGCTCCAATCAAGCAAACTGCAAGCACTTCAGTGAATCCAAAATAAAATGAGAAGAAGACAGCCTTGCGCTTAAAGTCTGGAGCAAATTAAGTTAATGCAAAACATAAATGCTGAACTGCAGTTGGCAAGAACAATTAGGAAGGGTTTTAGGATTCTTTTTAAGAAGATTTAAAAAAAAATTTTAAAGCAATGTAGAGCAAAGCCATTGCTCTACAAGCCAAGCATTCTTTGGCTAGATATATTGGACCCTCTGATGTAGCATTTGTGGCTATACAGGTTCGACTCTAAAATTCCATGGGTCAGGCAACCAACTTCATCTAAGAAAGATCACAAATTGAAATACTGGGTCAGACCTTGATGCTAGACCAAGTTCAGATTTCAGCATATCTGGCCTTCAGCCACTGGCTTCAACACTGCCCAAAGGGAAAAAAAAAAATTAAAAGATCACAAAAGCTGTTAGAAAAAGTGAGTACCAGAGAAGGGAGACCATTGGCAACAGAATGTGAGAGCATCCCAAGGGCTTCCAGAGCCTAATGGCTCAAATCTGGAAGAACAAACTTGGCGGCACACCTCTCCACGCCACCGGGAACGAGGCTGCCCTGATCTTTCTCCTGTTTTTTGTCAGACTTCATTTTCACTACTCATAACCTCGCCTGCTCCTAACATAAACTCCTCTGGGATTGGTCCCTGAAAAGTCAAAGTGTAGTCGCTCAGTCAAATCTTACTCTTTGTGACCCCATGGACTGTAACTCGCCAGGCTCCTCTGTCCATGGCATTCTCCAGGCAAGAATACTGGAGAGGGTAGTCATACCCTTCTCCAGGGGATCTTCCCAACCCAGGGATTGAACCCAGGCCTCCTCCATTGCAGGGAGATTCTTTGTCATCTGATTCACCAGGGAAGCCCAGATTGGCCCCCAGTGGACCTTGAAATGGAAGGTTTCCAATTCGTCTCCCACCTGCTAATTCTTTTTCACTTTGTCAATGAGACATTTGGTGCATACAGCTTAAATTAGAAATGTAATCATCCCTACCTCATGCTCTAAACCTTCATTATTTGAGATGTCCTTCCATGGAGAAAATACACCTGCAAGGATGATGTTACCACCCCAGACCAGAGTCAGCTCAGTACTGAATCTGCCTCTAGGATAATTCACACAACTCCAAATAAGGATCAGCTATACTGACGTTTCAACGGGAAACACCTGGGTGTTCCAACTCCTAATACTGAACTTCCCTGGCAGAAGTCAAGGCACAGAAAGTAAAGATACCCCACTCCTTTCCTTACCCTCCCATCTGCGGGTGATCCAAATCTCCGGACAGGGACTGCAGAGGGTTTCTGTGGCCCAAGAGGCCAAGACTGAGAAGAGGGGCAGAGGATAGAGGCCCAGGACAGGTCCAGGGACCAAGAGGAAAAGCAAGTGGGGATGTGGCACACAGACATCTGTGCATACAGGGAGATCGGCCAGGACTGGGGCTACAGGCTCTTAAAATGATGTACAGCAGCAGTCCTCAACATTTCTGGCACCAGAGACCAGTTTCATAGAACACAATTTTTCCACAGCCTGGGGCAGGAGAGGATGGTATGGGGATAATTCAAGGGTATTACATTTACTGTGTGTGTTATTTCTATTATTATGTTGTGATACATAATGAGATGTTGGAGTTAAGATACCTTGAATTAATTTGGGATTTACCTTATGGGTTTGGTTCAAGCCCTTAGTTCAGAAGAGTGGGTGGCCATTCCCTTCTCCAGGGGATCTTCCCGACCCAGGGATCGAACCTGAGTATCCCACACTGCAGGCAGATTCTTTACTGTCTGAGCCACCAGGAAAGCCTGCAATGGGGGAGGACCTAGGTTCGATCCCTGGGTCAGGAAGATACCCCTGGAGAAGGGAATGGCAACCCACTGCAGTATTCTTGCCTGGAGAATCCCATGGACAGAGGAGCACGCCGGTCTATAGTCTGTCGGGTGGCAAAGAGTGGGACATGACTGAAGCGACTTCGCACACACGCATCACTGACCGCACACCTGTTGTTCTTCGGGGCCTGGGCCAGACTCCTCCCTCTCCCTCCTGCCAGCCCCTTCGGTGACTCTTACTAGGATGGGAGACTAAGAGACAAGCCAAGCAGACAGGAGGAGACTGTGGTTTGGCAGGTGCTGTCCTCCTTCCGGGAATCCCCAGCCTCCTCCGCCCGTCTGCCTGGCAGGTTCCTAAACCCTGTTCAGGTACCACCTCCTCTCCAGAGCCCATGTGCTTGACCCCTGGGGCAGAGGAGGAAGGGTGAGGCTGAAAGACAAAATCAGGGAGGTGACATGGCCGGGGTAGGAGGACGGTCCCATGTAACATACATACATGGGCCAGCAGCTCATTCATTTAAACGGTAGGCCACACAGTTCTGCCAAAAGGAGACTCTGAATTTCCTTAGAAGGAGACTTATCTCAGGGGACTGATGGTTACTATGTTCATGTTGCTCACTTACCTTGGCAAATAGGGAAGGAGTAGAAACCCGAGCGGCAGGCATCACATCGAGCGCCCCCCACGCCAGGGCGGCATAGGCACCTCCCTTGGGCATCACAGATTTCAGGGAGAACTCCTTCCAGGTTACAGTCACAGCCTACGAAGAGGAAGAGACGTTCAGAGGGGTTCTCCATCCTTCATCGCTTTGTGTGTTTCTCCTTCACCCAGGTGTCTGCCATGGAAACCCAGATTCTGAGTTATCTACAGTTTATATCCAAGCCCATAACTTCAAGGCAAATAGATGGGGAAAACTGTGGAAACAATGGCAGATTTTATTTTCTTGGGCTCCAAATTCACTGCAGATGGTGACTGCAGCCACGAAATTCAGACGCTTGCTCCTTGGAAGGAAAATTATGACAAACCTAGACAGTGTATTAAAAAGCAGAGACATCACTTTGCCGACAAATGGACGTATAGTCAAAGCTATGGTTTTTCCACTAGCCATGGACAGAAATGAGAGTCGGACCATAAAGTAGGATGAGAGCTGAAGCATTGATGCTTTTGAACTGTGGTGCTGGAGAAGACTCTTGAGAGTCCCCTGGACTGCAAGGAGATCCAACTGGTCAATCATAAGGAAATTAGTCCTGAATATTCATTGGAAGGACTGATGCTGAAGCTGAAACTCCAATACTTTGGACACCTGATGCCAAGAACTGACTCATTGGAAAAGACCCTGATGCTGGGAAAAATTGAGGGCAGGAGCAGAAGAGGGTNAGCATCACCAGCTCAATGGACGTGAGTTTGAGCAAACTCTGGGAGAAGGTGAAGGACAGGGAAGCCTGGTGTGCTGCAGTTCATGGGGTGGCAAAGAGTCAGACACAACTCAGTGACTGAACAAAAAATGGCTTACATACAGTCCTACCCCAGAAGACTGAGAAAGACTCATCTTTAAGGGAGTAAGACACCTGGCCAGGAAAGATCAGAGATGCCATTTGGGAACCTCTACGGCAGATGTTAGTTTATAAAATATCTGTAATCTTTTAGCATCCATGACTGTGGGAACAGTTTTTTTCCCCCAACTGAGCCTTAGTTGGGCTTCCCTGGTGGTTTAGATGGTAAAGAATCCACCTATAGTGCGGGAGACCTGGGTTGGGAAGATCCCCTGGAGGCGGGCATGCAACCCACTCCAGTATTCTTGACAGGAGAATCCCCATGGACAGAGGAGTCTGGCATGCTGCAGTCCATGGGGTCACAAAGAGTCAGACGCGAATGAGCGACTGAGCATGCACACACACACACACGAGCCTTATTTAGTAAAATTTCAACTTCATAGATTCCCACTGAATGGCTATCTTGAATTAAACATATTTCCACTTCCATTGTTTAGAAGAAAAGAGATGAACACCCATTCAGCCCTGATCAGAGCCAGATGTGGCTCTGGGGGACCTCACTGGGCTTGTTTCAAGCCTGCAGGCACCAGCCCTTCCCAGCAGACAGCGTGCTCCCGTCCGTCTCAGGACCTCTGCTCTGGCCGGTCGGTCGTTGCGGGCAGCGCCCTTCCCGAATTCCCTCGCATCCTTCAGTTCTCTATGCGGGGAGTCACCACCTCAGGAAGGCCTCTCCCCACCCCAGTCTGTACCAGCAGCTCCCCCGTCCCTTGCCCACTCTCTGCCTTAACTTGGGTTTGTCTTTCACACTTTAATTACTGAAATCACTTATTGGCTGCATGGCTGACTTTGACCAGTAGAATAAGGGGAAAGCGTGTCCTGGGATTTCAGAACCCAGGTTTTGTAGATTTGTGGCTTTATGACAGGCTTTGTGGCTTCCATTCTCATGCTCTGGGAACCCTGAGATTGCTGGGGGTGGGGAGGGGTACTCTGTCTGACCTCCTCGAGGACAAAAGGCCACAGGGAGAGAGACACTGAGCTGTACCCAGCGGACCTTCCAGCAAGTTCGGCAGAAAGACTGCCCAGCCAAGCCACAGGATTGCAAGAAATAAACCATGATGTTTTTAGCCACTAAATTTAGGGGCTAAATAGATAATGAAAGACAGCAATAAATGAAGGAAAAACCTATCAGACTAAACACTTAGGGAGAACTCACCTCAGGACACCTGCTGCCACGTACAGAATGTCTTAATCAGGAAGCATTTCCCGGAAAGACAGGGCTCTTGCTCGACTTCATTACGGATGGATAGATAATGAGGTCAAGCAAGAGTCCTGTTAAGATAAGCATCTTATAGGTGAGAAAAAAGAGGCTCAGAAAGGCTAATTAACTTGCCCGAGGTCACACAGCCAGAAAAGCTGAGTAGGAATGTGAATCCAGGTCAGCCTAGTTTTAAAGCCCCAGGCCTTTTATATGATGTGAAGGATAAAAGCTGATGAGGTAAAGTGAAGTCGCTCAGTCGTGTCCGACTTTTTTCGACCCCATGGACTGTAGCCTACCAGGCTCCTCCTCCATGGGATTCTCCAGGCAAGAATACTGGAGTGGGTTGCCATTTCCTTCTCCAGGCAATCTTCCTGACTCAGGGATCGAACCCAGGTCTCATGCATTCCAGGCAGAGGCTTTAACCTCTGAGCCACCAGGGAAGCCCATATACATATTCAAACCGTTCTTGTATTTAAGGAATCTACATTTCTATCAAGAACGTTAACATCTAAACCTGCAACACGGGTCCCTTGAGGCAGTCCCTAAGGTAGATCAAAGATCTGACTGGGTTAGCCCTACTTCTCAAGCAAGAGAAGTCTCATGCATTTTGGAAAGATTTTCTACAAGGGTTAAAAATAGTAGATCATTTGAAGAGTTAGCTAAATCCCACTCCTTCCCTTTGCCCTTTTTCATGTAAAAGGTTGGTAACAGAGCTGTAGAATTATTATTATTATTATTTTTTACAATAATGAAGAAAAAAAGATCAGGGTAAGTCAGAACAATTCTAGTCTTTGCATAATCTTTAACTTGCTCATACTTTAATCGAACAGTCACCTAACTTGACAGAAGTGGCACTAGATGTGTCCAAGAGCATACTGATCACAAGAGAAGCCTTGGAACTCATGCTGGCATGACCACCAACCTGTCTGTCCATCACAGCTGCCACACGAGGTCCCAGTGCCACAGCCCCATAGGCTGAGACCACCACAGTGAACTGCAGAGGTTTACTGTCAACTAATCTTGGCGATAAGCCAGGCATTAGAATTCAGTAAGAAACTTGAACTTGACATTGGCATTGAAGTCCAAGGAATCTAGATTTACTACCATTTGTAAACAGAAAGAAAGCATCGAGTAACTATGCATTGCTAAACTTCTGCTTCTGAAATTTACTTTTTAACTTAAGTGTGCTTTCCGTAGCGCAGTGGTTATCATGTTCTCCTGACACTTTTTTTTTAACTTATCTGGCAAATACTCCCACACAGTACAGGAACCAGAGATTTCTGAGGCCCCTTGCTTCTCCTCCACCCTCACCTCCCACCTCCTCACCAGGTCGTAGTGCCTGTATCTTAGGAAGGTAGCTGGAATACTCTCCTCCTTCCAGAGTTTCAGAGCCTTCCTCCAGGACCTCACCCTTGTTTGCCTGGTTTATTTCAAGATTCTCCTAACAAGGATGTCTGCTTCCCATCTTCTCCTTCCAACCCACTCTCCACACTGGTAGCAGGAGTGATCTTTCTAAAAAGCCAATTATTTCATGAAAGAAAGTGAAAGTGTTATTTGCTCTGTTGTGTCCGACTCTTTGCGACCTGATAGGCTATAGACTGGCGTGCTCCTCTGTCCATGGGGTTCTCCAGGCAAGAATACTGGAATGGGTTACCATTCCCTGATTAATCTCTTCCATGGTGACCTGATGCCTTCAGGACACAATTCAAAGTCCTCAACATGTGTGACACAGCAGACCCTTCAAAATCTTCATGCTGCCAGAGCCCGCGCAGCACTTTGGCGTAAACTAAAAAAAGGTGTCTCTTCAAGATGCTTTCCTATCACTTGCTGTAAAATTGTCAACGTAACATCTAATGGAAAACTTCAAATGATGTTTAGGCCACCTTGATCTATACAAAGCCATAATGTCCTCAATGCCTCCTTCTCCTGGTCCCAGGAAGCCCTTCTAGAACTGTACCTTTTTCTTTCCTTCTTTCCTTCCTCCATTCTTCCTCCCATCCTTCCCATCTACCTTCCTACCTTCCCTCCCTCCCTTTTGTAAGAAGCTATAAGGATGACCCTCATGTCTGCTCCTATTGCTCTGTGTTCTTGCCTGGTGGCTCAATGGTAAAGAATCTACCTGCAATGCAGGAGAAGCGAGCTCAATCTTTGGGTCGGGAAGATCCCCTAGAGAAGGAAAAGGCAACCCACTCCAATGTTCTTGCCTGGGAAACCCCATAGAGAGGAGCCTGGTGGGCTGCAGTCCATGGGGTTGCAAGAGTTGGACACAGCTCAGCGACCAAACCACCACCACCTTGTCAGGTCATAGGATTAACTCCTGCTGCTATAACTGTTTGCCACTGTGTCTCCTGCAGGCCTGGGGGCTTCCAGGGAGCAGCGACTGTGAACTAGCAGCTGCCTTGGCCGTGCCTGGTACAGAAAAGGCACTTAATAAGAGTTCAGTGAATGAAGAATATGCTAAATATTCAAGACTCCAGTGCTCTTTGGTAAACACCATTCCTTGAATTCTGTTTTACTGGCATCTACAGAGAGCTGCCGAACTAAGATATCAGAATTCACCTGTCTCTCTCTAAGCCATATGTGGCCTGTCTCCACGCCAACAGTGGCTGCCCCACCCTGCCAGGCAGGTTAAAATGCCCGGCCTGGGGAGGGACACAGCGCAAAGGCATGCCCCAGCAGGCTGTCACCCCCAACTCTCAGAGTTTTCATCATTAGCACATGCCACAGCCCCACCCACACTGACTCACAACTTGGCAAGGACAAATAGCTCCTCTGGAGAAGGGAATGGCTACCCACTCCAGTATTCTTGCCTGGAGAACCCCATGGACAGAGAAGTCTGGCAGGCTACAGTCCATGGGATCGCAAAGAGTCAGACACGACTTGGCAACTAGACAACAATCACAACTAGCTCCTTACAAAGTGATCAGGGGAATCAAAACCTTTTCATGGGGTCAGGGAACCTCCAGGCAGCCATGTCCTACAACCAAATGGGCTGCTTTACAAATCCATCCCAAGTTGACATCACTCTCCTAAATTAAGCACTTAGAGTCTTTCCGCAGCTGTTGATTTTGCTCTTCATCACTCTTCGTTTGAACTTGGAGGAATAAGAGTCCCCAGCAGCCAGTGTCCCTCTAGAGAGTGACTGTTTCATGTATCCTTTCATTTTCAAAAAGATCCCTTGAAGATATGTCTACTAAACATGAACTTTCTAAAAATAAATACCCAGTGGTTATAAATGATCACTTGGACCCAGAAAATCCCAATAATATCCAGGGTCATGTAAAGCTAAAAACATTCTGGCCTACAAAATGGTTCTGTCCTTTTGCTTCAAGTCTCCTTTGTTTCAAGTGTCTGGAACTGAGCCTATGGAATTTCTAGAACAGTATTTCTCGATCTGGGCTGCATACTGGAATCTCCTGGTAAAACATCATTGCCTGGGTGTGGAATCCCAAACTCAAGAGATGCTGATAGAGTCCCCGGATCTGTAAACTATGGTCTGAGGGTCAGATCCTTTTGCTTTAGTAAACAAAGTTTTACTAGAACACAGCCAAGCTCATTCATTCATGTATTGTCTATTCTTTTCATGTTACAACAGCAGTCGAGTACATGCAACTTTGGCTACAAAGCTAAAAATACTTACTATATCTTTACAGAAAAGTCTGCCAACCATGAAATACAAATTTCTTCTAATCAGAGCAGTGGTTCTTTTTTTTTAAATCAGAGCAGTGGTTCTTAACAAGAGACATACACCAGAATCATCTAGAAAATACATTCAAAATACCAGCCTGAACTTCACCCCTGGAAATTTCCCCAGGTGGCACTAGTGGAACCCACCTGCCAATGCAGGAGACATAAGAGAAGCTGGTTCGATCCCTGGGTCGGGAAGATCTGCTGGAGGAGGGCATGGCAACCCACTCCAGTATTCTTACCTGGAGAATCCCATGGACAGAGGGGCCTGGTGGACTACAGTCCACGGGGTCACAAAGAGTCAGACAGGACTGAAACGACTTGGCATGCATGCAAGAGACAGGCCAGAATCATCTAGAAAATCTGTTCTAAATACCAGCCTGAACTTCACCCTGGAAATCTAGATTTAAGATCTCAGGGTGAAACACAGGCATTTACATTTTGTAAAAGCAAGTTCTTAAACACAGCTTTGTGTAAGAACCACCGAGAAGACATGAAAGCATTAATGGGCCTCAATGAATTAAAATCCTCAGGGACGGGAGAGACCTGGTATCACCCAATGCTGTGTATCTCCTGGCAGTTGAGATGTTTGTGCTCCTAAGGTTCACTGCCAGAGGTCAGGCCCCAAACTGGGTATTTTTAAAGTGCATTAGTAGAAAATCAAATTGAATGGGATCTCTCTGCTTTCAAATTCCCAAACAAATCTAATTGCGCTAAGTGGAATTTTTTTTTTCCTCCAGGCTGTGTTCTGAGGCTTCCCTAATATTTTGTAGCAGAAGTCTGAACTTCCCTTCTAATTCAATTAAATTTCCTTCCGTAAATCACCACCAGCCTATCTGGGGAGAAAAGGGAACAGAATAACAAAGGGATTACTGGAAACAGACCAGAAACAGAGTACCTAAAACATGCTTGTGGAAGGAGATCAGAGATGTGTATTGTAATCCAGGCTCAAAAGCTGAGCCCCATTCTAATCAAACGGCAAACAAGGACACACTCGCTGTACCCACTGTGGGTAGAATACCATGCGTGGAGATCAGAAAGTAAGTCAAGCACAGCTATTGTCCCCAAGAGACCAAGTGTGTGTGCACATGCATGCTCAGTTGCTTCAGCTGTTTCTGACTCTTTGCCACCCCCATGGACTGTAGCCCACCAGGCTCCTCTGTCCACGGGATCTCCCAGGCAAGAATACTGGAGTAGGTTGCCATTTCTTCCTCCAGGGGATCTTCCTGACCCAGAGATCGAACCCGCATCTCCTGTGTCTTCTGTATTGCAGATGGATTGCTTCTCTTCAAATAAATCAGTACCTTTTTGTGATACTTTTAATGAGATTAAATGAACAGAAATCTGTCCAACCTTTATTATAGGGAGTCAGTAACTTCAAATATCCCCAAAGTGACCTTGAATCTGTGAGATCCATCACCTGCCTTTGGAAATTCTTAACTGGAATATTTTACACCAATGATATGAGACACAGCCTGAGGGATGCGTAAGTTCCCCATTCTGAATGATTCCCATGTAAAAGGAGCACCCTGTACAAGACACAACCCTGCATATTAACCATCTAACACATTAGTGATTTTACTTGTTTATATGTTACATATGTTACTGTATGAGTTGCCCCTACCCTACCCCCAACTAAAATATAAGTTGTATAAGCTACAGGAGAGCTGGGAAATTTACTTCACTGCGAAGTCCCCTGCAGCCAGAACGGTGCCAGACACATGGCAGGTGCTCACAAAACACGTGCAGAATCAGGGATTATGTAGCCAGAGCACCTCTCCACCCCAAAGCCTGCTTCCGCACACCCGGCCACTCTTCCCGGGGCACTTTTCTGGCTGCAGCAGCTCCTGGGCGCCCCCTGCAGGCCAGGTCCAGAGAGGTAATGGCCCAGAGGCAGCCCTCCCCACCGGGCAGGTGACTGAAGTTCTCCATTCAGCTGGGAGAACACTGAGCAAATTCTCTGCTGTCTCCCAGAGCTGCCGTGAGGGCTGCAGCTCCAGGAGCTACCGCAGGACCAAGCTCGCTAAGGCATCTTCATAAAGGCCCCCTTCAGTCTCAGACTCACTCCCTTACTGAGGTTTCCTGGGGTCACCCCCCAAATGAATGACTTGCATTCAGTCCCTTTCTCAGAGTCCCTTCATGGAGAACCAAGACACATGGCAGGTAGCTCTCACTGAAGGTTGCTGAGCAAACTGGAGACAGACAATCCAAATGGCTTAGTCGCCTTCATCAGGCAGTGCCTTTGCAAAGCCCAGACAGGATTAGAGGATGAAGAGGAAGAGGGGTGAGCAGTCCAAATGCAACACGCCCACAAGGCACCACCAAGGTCCCGTAAGAATGATTTGAACTCGGACACAGCTGTGTGCATAGAAGCAGGAAAGGAATATGGAGAACGTTTTTACTGAAGTTAAACCAAGTCAGAAGTTACTTGCCTTTTATTATATCTCCAGCTACTGGATCCTCTGGACTTGGAGTAGAAATGGGAAGGATGGGAATTCCTAGAAAAATAGTTTATCAAAAAATACGGAGAAAAATTAAGGACACAGCATAGTAAAACAGTAAATTGCAGTAACTAGGAAGATGCCCGCTCCAACTTAAGTGAAAGCAATGTGTGAAAACCAACTGACAAAAAAGAAAAAAGGAAATATTGCTACACTTAAAAGTGTAGTAGCTAGTAATAGAACCAAGAAGGTCAGACATGAGTATGATGTGCATACTAATGAACAGAAATGGATATTCTGTGCTCACAAGAGCTAAGTCCCAGTCAATTAGGGCTGAACTGGACTTCTTTAGTATCTTTTTAAAAAATCAGTTAACTAACTTTGGCTGCACTGGGTCTTCATTGCTGTGCACGGGTTTCTCGATGTGGTGGCTTCTCTCGTGGCAGAGCACGGGCTCTAGGCTTGCAGACTTCCATAGTTGCGTTGCACAGGCTGAGCTGCCCCAAGGCAGGTGGAATCTTCCTGGAGCAGGAATCGAACCCATGTCTTCTGCACTAGCGGGTGGATTCTTAACCACTGGGCCGCCAGAGAAATCCCTTTAGTATTTTTATTGCTCTTTCATGTAAAATTGAGACTAGTTTTTTAAAAATTTTTCCTTACAAGTTTTTACTCTAAAACTTTGCTTATGAAAATAAAATTTCTGCTCAGCTTCTCTCCAGTAATTAAGGATTCTAACTGATTAAGCCCTGATTCAGTGTTACTATGTTTAGGCTTAAAAGTCGGCTCCTTTAACTCTAAGATGGTTATATAATTCGTCCTCTAAACTGGGACACTCAACAGTGGAAGTGGGTCCTCACTCAACAGTGACCCTGGGACCGCAGGTGGGTACGGGGCCAGATGGCGACCACACGCCAGATGGGGTCACACACGTCCTGTCTGCACAGCCTCAAACTCAATGTGATTTTCCCACGATAGGAGAATTGTGAGGTGGGAATGGGCAACAACTAAGGTCTCAGTGGGGCAGCCTCCTCCCGAGACAGTGTTTCTCTGTCCAGACAACAAACTCCAGTTTCTACACTGACACAGAACAAACAGAACCATGGCTCTCGCCACAACCTGCACAGCAGATTTCAGACCCTCCTGCTCCGTGTTCTTCCCTGGGGGCTCAGACAGTAAAGGATCTGCCTGCAATGTGGGAGACCTGGGTTCGATCCCCGGGTTGGGAAGATCCCCTGGAGAAGGGAACGGCTACCCACTCCAGTATCCTTGCCTGGGAAATCCCATGGACAGAGACTATAGTCCACTGAGTCCCAAAGAGTCGGACAGGACTGAGTGACTAATACTAACACACTTACTCCCTGTTCTACGGTGTTTCTAACAGATACATATTTTTTCTCTCTGAGGTACTGAGCCATTCTCTTAGGTCATGACAGTAGGGTGAGATGGGGGGCTCCTCTGTAAAGTGGGTAAGAGCAGACACATCCCTCGGCCACCAGAAATACAACACATACACGTGTGTGCAAATAAATATTTGGAAGCCCATGACATTTTTTTCTAGGTTTATGAAGAAAAACTTCACACATGGATTACTATTAAGTTGAAATTGCCAATATTTGCCCCTTGGGTCTGATGAGAGGGTCATGTCTATGGCACAGCCTAACATGTTGGAGATAAATAATACTATACAACATACTTATATAAATGTAATGTTCCAAACTTTGGGAAACACTTTCACACAAATATTGGGTTGGCCCAAAAGTTCATCTGGGTTTTCCTGTAACATCTTATGGAAAAACATGAACGTATTTTTGGCCAACCCAATACAGCCTTCCTGGCCCTATTTCTGTCCCCCTCTCTTTCCCCGCTCCGCCTGCCACGCCCTCAGAGGTCGATGCACAAAGCCCAGGTAAGAGCCAAGGAGCCAGGCCTCCCCTCCTACCACCAGGACTTACTGGAGCAAACTGGGAAATGATAGTAGCCGGCCGCACACTCCTCACAGCGGTCTCCGCGGAAGTTGGGCCGGCAGTTGCAGCGGCCGGAGCCCTGCTCACAGTCCTCCGCGTGCTCCGGGTGGCAGCTGCAGGCTAAGAGAAACGCCGGATTTCAGAGGGTCCGTCCTTCATTGCACCTCTTAAAGCCAATATTTCCTCATGTCCTTATTACTGGGTTGTTTGAAAAGGTCACTAGGGTATTTTCATAAGGTGCTACGGAAAAACCCAAACTTACTTTTTGGCCAATCCAGTACTTTCATTGGTCCACATGTGTTTCTGAAAGGCCACTGCTTTCCACTTCACACCTGGTGGATGGTTTGCAGTGACTCAACCCCGTGGCCCTCAGAGACAGGCTTTAATGCTTAGTCACACTGGGAAGGCCTTGAGGATGAGGTTTATGATGTGAGCACCACCCAGCCCACCAGGCAAGAGGCAAAAGGCACTCACCCCCCACTGGAGGGGCTGGGTGGGCATGTACGGCAGCCCCTGGCAGGGCTGCCAGACAGAGCCTCTCCTGGCTGTGAGCCAACTACCAATGTCCAGAGTGGTCCTCATTACACAGCTGGACATGAGTGTGGACATGAGTGTGAGATGCCTAGACACTGATATATAATCCACAGACAGCACAGCAAGATCACGTCCGTAATCCAAATGTTAGAATCAAATGATAAGACTTACTGAAGGCAGTTTTTGTGACCGACATGATGGTCAGGTTTGCACTTCAGAGGGACAGACGGGCTGTTAAAGGCTTGGTAACACCCTCACTTCCCCTGACCTGGCCAAAGTCCTCACTTTGGGCAGCAAAAATATGTCACAGCTCAGCCGAGTCCCTGTGCGGTGAGGACCTGGGAGGCTGCACAGGTCATGAGCACCAAGCATCCCCCAGCCTGGCCTCTCCTGGGGTCCTTTGTTTAATTTCTTATTATTTATGTGTCCAGTGGATTCTTAATGCTATGCCTCTAATACCTCCAGGAGACCATCTCAGTGACAAAGAAAGAAACTAGAAAAGTGATGGAAAACTGAGGTTCCTGATAAGGCAAGACTATATCCACAATCTCCTATTTTCCTTAGCCAAGGCCTATTTTTTGTGAACACAAGAAAAATAATGGGCATACTTCATGGGGTGATATGGAAGATCGAAGGAAAACAGAGACCCGCTTTTAACAACAACGATGCCCTCAAACCTTAATGATACAATGAATGAATTTGGGGGGAAGGTGGGCACGGAAGTCAACTTCAGAACTGGAATTGTTTTCTAACTGCAATAGCCAGAGAACATAAAAGAATCAAACAATTTCACATGCATAACAAGGTCCATAATCTGATCTATGACTGATAATTGCATAGGGGGAAAAAAGTGGCGTTTTTCTGTACAATGGAAGCAGTAGGTTACAGCGGCACTGGACAGATATGAACAATATCCTAACCTACTAGTTAGTGGTTCTGTCACCTGGGCCAAAATATTTAACTACTCAGACCCTTTGATTTCTCCACATCTAAAAAGGAGACTAATAATACATTAAGTTTGTTGTGAGGAAAGAAATTTGTTATTCAGGCAAAGCCTTGTATATAGCAAGTACTCAAAGAATCATAACTATTTTGAATATTATGAATATTCATAAATCCTTATGAAATCATTGCTATGTGTCTTATGCTAATTCTGATGAAATCTGAAATTGCTGGATATCACAGAAACATGCCAAAACAACAGAAAACATTTGCTGCAGGCCTAGCATGGGACAGGCCCAAGTCTCAGTATTTTCCCAGGTGATTTTTTGGTGTGTTTCTTTTTTAAAAAAATTATTTTCTTCTTCTTCTTTATTGTTGTTTAATTTATTTTTTCTTTTGTGGCCATGCTACGTGGCATGTAGAATCCTAGCTCCCTAACCAGGGGTCAAATCCATGACCCCTGCCTGCACTGGAAGCCTAGTCCTGACCACTGGACTGCCAGGAAAATCCCTTCCTAGGCGGTTTTGATGGCAATTCACTTAATCTTAAGAGACTAGATTATCATTTCCATTCATATAGAAGAAATCTGATTCTCAGAAAGACTACGTAACTGAGGTCACACAGTTAGTAAGGAGTAGAACCAATAATATGAAGAGACAGAGAAAACAAAAGGAATTATTAGCCAACCGTAATTTAGCCCAATGATTTCCCTGAAGTCTAAGACACATCAAATTGGAATGAAACTTACGAATGCAGCCATCGGGGGCATGGACCGGAATGCCATAAGGGCGATAATAGCCCTTAGCACACTTCTCACAGTTTACACCGGCTGTGTTATGCTAGAAAGAAACAAAAGAAACTTAGAGGGAAGAATACAGGAGAAACCCTTATTTTGTGCTATTCATCCTGAGAAATGATTCTGTCATACACAACTGTAATGTTAAAATCACTGAAGAAAAAAAAAAAGCACAGATCTTGACCTTGAGTCTCCAAGATTTATCACAGGACACTGGCTTGAACTTGGCTCTGGGATTTTTTCTCATTGGAAGAGGAAATGAGGCCACGAACTGAACAGGCCAAGTTTTCCTCGCTACCTCTCACTGAAGCACCTGATAGCTGAGTGGGCAAAAACTCCAGAGGGCTACTCTTCCAAGCTTCATTCCACAGTGATAAATGGATAATAGATCACCTTTAGGCTTAACCCTAGGAATAAAGGGCCATGTGTGTATTTTTATCTTTTTCAATTTTGGAAGAAACTGCATCTACAACTCCTTCTCTCGTCCTTCCAAAATTTTATCTATGCTTTACTCTGAAACCATTTCCCAAACATTTCTGCTATGAGAATTGAAAATGTAGGCATGTGTCTCACACACAGAGCTCATTTTAAAGTACAATACAAGGAAGCCTTTTATACTTCACAGTTAATCCTTGTAATTGTCAGAAAATCAAATTACCCAACATGCACCATCAATTTCCAAGAACTTTAAACGATGGATCTAGCTCAATTCTGCCCGCCCCCCTCCCTCCACTGGAAAACAATCAGAATGACAATATTCTTTCATTGATGAAAGGAAAGGCAATAGGAAATTTTAAAAGAAAACATATATAACACACTGATTCTAAAGGAGTCTGCATAGAACACAGAAAGGAGAACAAGGACCCTTTCTGGATCCTCTCCCCTTTAATATGATTTTATTAATTACAGACTTATTTATTACCACTTCTTGTCCTGTGGGCTAAAATCTGAATTCACTTTAACACTGAGGTCAAAAGCACATTGGCCACTTCTTTGACTTCATTTACATGCATAAATATCTTGGGCAAATAGGAAACAGCTGTGGTCCACCCTCTCTTCCATCAAATGCCAATGACCCTCTCAACTCTGTTGTTGGCCACTATGGCTTCCAACAGAGCACATCAGGTTGAACTTGGGTCCAAATTTTTTCTGATGACTTAGGATGTTAAGCCCTTTGTCTGCTTATTGGCCACTCAGATACCCACTTTTATAAAGTGTTTATTGTATGCTTATCGACCATTCATACATCCACTTTCTGTGAAGTGGATAGTCAAACCATTTGCAACTGTATTAGGTTATTTGTCTTTTTATTACTGAGCTGTGGGAGTTCTTTATACATCCTGGATACCAACCAATCGTCAGAATGATGTTTGGGGAATATTTTCTCCCCATTCATGGCTTGCCTATTCATTTTCTTCAGTGCCTTTTATGAGCAGAAGTTTTTCATTTTGATGAAGTCTAATTTGTCTATTGTTCATGGTTATTGTTTTCGGTGACCTAAGGAAACTTTGCTCATCCTCTGAATCATAAGGATTATCTCTTATATTTTTCTCTAAAGCTTAAAGTTTTAACTTTGTTTTGGGTCTGATCCATATCAATTTAGTTTTTTGTGTATGTTTGAGATGGATGGTCAAAGTTAACTTTTTCCCATATAAAATCCAGTTACTCCAGAACTATTTGTTGAAAGGACTTTCTTTTCTCTCCCCACCTCCTGCCATTAGATTGCTTCAGTACCTTTACTAAAAATAAAACGTCCATTGTGGACATAAAATGACCCAAGTCTGGGTCTGCTTCTGAGCTCCCTGTTGTGCAAAGCTGATCTTTTCTTCCAGCCTTATGTCAGTAGCAGTATTTCGATTACTGTAACTTTACAGTTAATCTTGAAGTATGATAAGTTCACCAATTTTATTTAGTTTCTTCAAGACAACTTTGAATATTCTAGGTCATTTATATAACCATATAAAATTTTAATCCACATGTCAACGTCTTTATAAAAAATAAAAAAGAATTCCATTAACTCTGTACAGTTAATTTGGGGAAAACTGATATCTTAATACTACTGAGTCTTCTAATCCATAAATATGTTACATTTGTTACATTTTTCTATTTAGTTTTTTCTAGATTTTTCTCAGCAAAGCTTTTTAGCTTTAACAGAGAGGTCTTACATGTCTTTTGCTAAATTTGTTCCTAAGCATTTTATGGTTTTTTATACTAGTTTTAATCAAATTTTAATTTCATTTTCCTGTTGTTTGTTACTAGTATATATAAATACAATTAGCTTTTCTATATTATCATTGTACCCTACAATATTACTAAATTCACTTATTAGTTCTGGTAATTGTCTTGTATATCCCTTAGGCTTTTTTACATAAACAATCACATCATCTCCAAATAGAAAACAGTTCTATTAGTTCTACTTCCTTTCTGACCTTAATACTTTTTTTTCCCCTTGTCTTATGCAGTGGTTGGGTCCTCCTGGGCACTGTAACAAGAATCCTTTCTTGTTCCCAATCTTTAGAAGGAAACAGTTCAGTATTTCATCACCAACATGACATCCATTATAGGGTTTTCATTAAAATCCTTCATCAAATTTCAGACACCTGCAACGTTTATGTGCACGCAGATCAACTGAAGGTCCTGTAATACATAGCTTTAACAAAATCCTGGGATATTTCACTGACTCACAAAACCCAATGATTCATAACAAACCTATGGTGCATATTTACTTCTATTTAACTGTGATGACAGATGATATAAACTGTGTGGAGAGGGAGCCATGCAGAAAATGGTGGGTTTCTCTGAGGGTGTGTATCCCTGGTTCCATACAAATAGGCACCTCATGTAAAGTGCCTCTTTAATGGTAACATTAACAAAACATCATTCTAAAATAAAACAAGACAGAATATAGACTAAATTCATGAACACTTTACACAATTTTTAATGAATATCTTGAGGCAGATATACATATACCCTCCTCTGCTATATGCACCTCTTAGCTAAATTCCAGTGAATCCAATCATTCTACAGAAGGGATGAAGAATCAGTTTTTCTTATTTGCTGTCAATGTCAATGGCAGACATCATTAACTGATCATGACATACTTCCTATAGACTCAGAATCCATTTGAAAATGGGATTTAAAGTTAGCATGGAAATTGATACCAAATTCTCCTATCTTAGAGCCTTTCTACTGGATAGCAGTCAAGACGAGAGGAATTCTTCCCTCCAGTTAGGCAAAGACCCAAAAATCTAATCAACAGAGTTTGGGCAAATATACCTCAGTCCATTTTCCCTACAATCTCTAAATTACATCCAGCTAAGCAGGCTTTCTATGTACAAAAGTGGAGAAAAGGTGTCAGGAAATCCTTTCAATTGCATATCACTTTCTTGACATCATTTATTTTTTAAATGTCTTATAATTTAAATGTTTTAAAATATATTTTTATTTATTATATGTATCACTTATTCACTTATTTTTGGCTGTTCTGGGTCTTTGTTGCCATATGGGCTTTTTTCTAGTTTCAGTAAGCCAGGGCTGCACTCTGGTAGTGGTGACAGGCTTCTCATTGCAGTGGCTCCTCTTGTTGTGGAGCACGGGCTCTAGGGCACACGAGCATCAGTAGTTGCCGCTCCCAGGCTCTAAAACACAGGCTCTATAGCTGTGGTACTCAGGCTTAATTGTTCTGCGGCATATGCATCATCTTTCTGGACTAGGGATCAAACCCATGTCTCCTGCACTGGCAGGCGGATTCTTTATCACTGAGCCCCCAGGGAGGCCGGTAATATTGTTTTAGAGTAGGGCTTCCTGAATGTTCATTTCCGAGGCTGACTTAAATAGCGCCTTACCTGACAGTTAATGCAGACCCCTCCACCTGCATAGAGGCCTTGGATATTCAAGCTTGCCTGCTGCCTCTCGACATCCGGATCATAATATGAGATGGCTGGATGGCATCACCGACTCAAGGACATGAGTTTGAGCAAACTCTGGGAGACGGTGAAGGACAGGGAGGCCTGGCATGCTGCAGCTCATGGGGTCACAAAGACTGAACACCAAATGCCAATTAAGCTGCACAAAGTGAATATTACTATTACTCCTACTGCCGAGAATAACTGAGCTCCTGATATACTAGGGAAAGCATTACATTCGTTATCTTATTTTATATGTGCAATATATTTTCTAGGGGAGGTATGATGATGTCCAGAGCCCAGATGGGGATGCTGCAGCTTGGAGAGGTGAAGGGAAGTGTTCACTCACAGAGTTCACAAGTCAGACAGGCAGAATCCTGACCTGTTTTTCTGTGAGTCCAAAACCTATTCTCTCAGTCAACATTCCAAGCCTTTCATCTCAGCTCTATCTATAATAGTGATCAAATGGAAGTAATCTTGACATCTAACCATAGGGAAATGGCTAAGCAAACAACAGTATATTTGCTTGACTAAGAGTCCTATGAAGTCAAGCACTGCTCATGTTTTGTTTGTAATAGAGCAGGTGCCCTCACACAGTAAGAACTCAGCAAAACAAACACTTTTTAGATACACTTGAATCAAGAATGACTATACCATGTGCCATCAAAAAGGATGTCACAGAGTTTTTAATGATACAGGAAAATATTTTTAAATACTAAGTGAAAACGATCCAGATATAAAATTGTATAAAATAATATACTCTTGAGCATTTAAAGTATGTATGAAAAAACACTAGAATACCTAACAAAATATTAATAGTGGATCTCTTAGGGTAATAAAAGTATTAATAATTTTACTTTAAGAAATAATTTCTAAATTATTTACAGTTAATATATGATACTTATAAAATTAGAGAATATAGTTTAAACCCATTTAGGATTTTCATCATTGCCAAGATGAAAAAAATTTAACACAAGTAAAATTCTGTTGTCTCTTAAGTAGAATATATATTCACTACATTCCACCTAGATCGAATTTTCTATCTTTCCAGGAATTTGTATATTTTAATCAAGTTCTCAGATAAATCTATTAGGGAAGAAGATTGAGTTAGAATTATAAATTAACCTGTT